GAGGCCGACGAATTGACGGTGAGCATGCACCAATGTGGCCGGAAAATGGTGCTGGAGGCCTGTGTAATTAGCCCGACACATCCCACTGAGGCCGACAAAATAATGGTGAGCACGCACCAATGTGGCCGGACAATGGTGCTGGGGGCCTGTGTAACCAGCCCGACACGTCCCACTGAGGCCGACGAAATGACGGTGAGCACGCATCAATGTGACCGGAGGCAGTGCTGGGGCCCTGTGTAACCAGCCCGACACACCCCACTAATGCCGGCAGAATAACAGCAGGCCAGCCGCCTCGACAGGCACCAGCTACAGTGGTGAAATCTCTGTGCTGGGGCAGCAGCGGCCGCATGCCGCTGGCCCGACATCTTCGGGCAAAATGACATGCCGCTGGCTCGAGGTCTTCGGGCTTAGGTACCTGCACTATGTGAGTGGAAACGCTGAGGAAAATGGTGATGATGACTCGGCATCTGAAATGAGTGGATTAGACATTGAGGACTTGCCGAGGATGGATGTTGAGATGGAGGAGCAGGAGAACAGGGAGGAGGACGAAGATTTTGACGAAAATATCATGGCAATGCTTAGACGAACCTCAGGACGGGGTGAAGTCTCACTTCCTGCAATGGCTAACATGCTATAACTTATTCTATAACTTAATGCTGTCGTGCTATGCATTAGAGCGTGTTAATTACTAAAGGACTAGTACTTCTAATGCTTTTTGGCGCGTTTTGATGGTCCTGCAAGCTGAGAGGGCGCTCCCGAGCGCTTGGGGCGGGTAGCAGGTACATGCATCGTCTCAATGAGAGGGTTATCAAATGTGATCTGGGGATACAAGTTCTGGGAGGTGGAGGCGTCTTGGGGAGCTGAATCAGATAGTCCAGGTTGCAGGAACGTCTGAGATCCCAAGGTGTGAGGGTCTTGAGTCCATGGTTCGTCTTTGAGCTGAAATTCACTACAATGCTGTGAGTAAGCGGCTGGTGGGGGAATGCTATCGAGTTCAGGCTCTTCTTGCTTGAGTCTCGGCTGCTTTCTTGGGGCTGATTTCTTCGTTTTCTTTTTCGCTTGGATTTCAGCTTGAACTGTAGCATCATACACCTGGATGACATTGTATAGCCCTTGTCCAAAAGTCGTCTCCCACTCTGTTGTCTCTCCAAGGAATGCAACGAGACTGGAGAGGCAAGAAAAGGTTATGGGGCTCGCCTTGACAATCCTATCAATCTCGTGCTTGTTGAGGAGGAAATTCGTAGGCATCATGCGAGTGAACAAGGTGGTGAGCCGAGCTTTGCTTCTCCAAGTCCGAATAAGCTCCCGAAGCGGCTCACGCTGCGAAGTTGGTCGATTGTCACGGGTAGCTTTCGACTGCTTCTTGGGTTTGGTGGGCTCTTCGTGGAGAAAAGCGCCCGGGAAAAACGACGATAGGCTGAAGCCATCATCGTGTTTGTCGCAGCAATGGGACACTGTGTACTTTAATGCTGCGATAATTTGAGACCAAGTCATAACTGCCAACGTGCACACTAACCTTGTTGGCTGTCATCTGCGTTTCTTTTCCGCAGGTACTCGCGTCGACATGTTGGTGAGCTCATGTACTCACAAACACTGATATCGGTTCGCTTCTCCTTGTTTGTTGGTGCAGCACTTTCCTCAACGCTCAACGCCCACGGTTCCACAAGAGCGAGACACACAGTCTCAACTGCAGGATTTCTGCCGCCCCGCCCGAACTCCTGTTGCATCTGCTCCAAAGTGGGTGATGCTCCGACGCATACTACACGTGCAATATCCGAGACATCAATGCCCTGAGCATAGACATTTAGTTCAAGTAGAAATAAGCGATTATTACCCACATTTGATGCAACAGTTGTTGAAACGAGCACACGGATCTCGTCAGAGGTCTTGAACTCACTAAAAACGCGGTTGATGTAGTCCTGTGACATGACAGAATGCAGGTGGGAGACAATCTTGCTGGATTTGATAGACTCGGGGAACCGCCAGCGAAGATATGCAGCTACACGAGCTGCTGATAGGCGGCTGTCAATAAACACGACTGTCTTTGGTGGTCGTTCAGGGTTCTCCTCAGGTGGGACCAGAAAGTCGAAGTTCTTGAGGTTTTTGATACCACCATACAAGCGGTGGACAGCATAGATGTGATTGGGGCGGTTTATGGACTCCATTAGCTGTACCGTGTCGCTCGGGTCAAGGTGGAGGTTGTCAAAGATGGTGTGGAGTATAGGAGGAGGGAGAGTTGCGGAGAGGAGCAGGATTGGGGTTCCCTCGCGGAGATGTGGCAAGACCTCACCTAGACGGGCATATGCAGGCCGAAAGGCATCTTTCTCACCTTTTTGACGGAATCCACTGAGGACAATGAAGTGTGCTTCATCCAGGAAGAGGAAGCCAATACTCTCGAGGAATTTTCGATTGGAAGCCATGGTCGCAGCAAGCCGAGGAACGTGCCCACTCGTGAGTCGAAAGAACTGCTCTGGGGCAATGAATATGTTCCTATAACACCCTCCCTCGATTTTCTGACGAGTTCGGGAGGACATGAGTGATAAAATGTTATGTATGTGAACAAGGAGACGCACCTTCCAGAGTTCTCTATCATTGGGAGTGTCTTCATTGATTTGAATCGAGGGAATGCCAGCCCGGTTGAAATCCTCGACCTGATGCAATGTAAGGTCAATAGAGCGCAGTAGAAAGGCACATACATGGTTCTTCTGTAGTAGCTTGAGTGGGGAGACCGTCAAAGCAATCTTTGACTGATTTCCAAGTATCAGAGGAAGAATCATGCACATCGTCTTGCCATAGCCAGTTCCGGCGCGAACGACGACATTCTCCCCTGCAAGAGTCTTCAGAGCAGACTTGAGCTGGAATTCACGTAGCTGGCCCTTGCCCTTGGTGTAGAAATCGAACCATGCAACCGCTTGGTGCACGAGCAGAGCCTCGGAAAGAGTGAGTTTCTCGACAAAATCGAATGATAAATAGTCGAATGATTCGCGGGCTGTTTCGCTCAGAGGGCCCTGGATAGTGTAAAGAACGTGCATGTATATTTTCGTGATTATCGGTTGAACGAGTGACGAGATATGGACGACACAGTGGGTATGAGCTACAATACAGCCAGACGCGTCGCATCGCGCGCGCGCGCGACCCTGAATCTGGGGCTGCCGTGGCTCGGCAGCTCATATTTTCAAACTCCGTGGGCACCGTGCCAAAGGCATGTCGAGGTGCACCAGTCTCGCTGACGCGAAAGCCTCCGGCTTGGTACCGTTTAGGGTACGCAGAAGCGTTGGCTGGTCACGAGTCTAGAAGCATGGATGTCTTCCTATAAGAGTCATATTTCTAAGAGTTGCATCAAGAATAAGATGAAACTGCACTCAAAGGTTGCTCTTCAGCTTCAACCGCGACGTCGGATTCACAGCGGTGTAGATTGGCTGGTAGTGTATAGGGGCTTAAGCTTACCGTCAAGGCGCGGGACAAGCGCGTCTCGTGTTGATTGAGGTGCACTACGTATTTGCATCGCGCCGGTCGTGTCTCAAGTTGAAGAGATCGTGGGTGATGCCGTCGTGGTCCTATAAATCCTTCCCATGACATGGCATACGGGACATTTAATCGCCGAAAGATATAGCCTATAATTAGGTTAACATTACTAGCACGCAAAATTTCCGTTCGGGGCAGTGCTTACTATCTTGGTAGGGTCTTGTCTTTTATTGATTTTAGTTATACTTTGTGCCGTGATTGGCATGTACTTATGCTAAGGTGTGTTACCAACCGTCAGCTTTCTGAACCGGATTCAAGCTAGATTCAAGCTAGGCTGAACCTAGCCGGCATCGAATCGTCCGACTATACAGGCTATCATTGCACTGCTGCGTCACAGCGTTTCTCACAGGATGAGTCACTTTGATGGTTGCCCCATCAAAATGTAAGTATTTTAGCGCTAGGCTGAGAAACAAGCTTAGGCTGCGGAGTTGGATGCAATAATACCTGTGCAACCTTTCGGATGACTGACTCTATCAGTCATTGTCGATTCCCGCCCTCATTTGTGTCACGAAGTCCTCTAATCCTACAGTGTTCCCGTCACCAACCCGTCACTTCCCATGAATTCCGAGTCTAGCATCAACACCTCAGGCCGGACTCAACGCATCAAGTCACGAGTTTTATCAGCGACCACTAGTCTCAGGAGTAGACGCAGTAGTAACTCATCAAATAAATCAGGTAATAGTAACGTCAGTTATCGTTCACCCATCTGCTGATGCTATTACGAAGCATTTACAATCGTACATCATGCCACTGACTCGGAAAAGGAGAGCAGCCAGGTGATGGACGAGAGCAAGGAAGATGCTATCAACCTTGATCTTTATGCTCCTGCTTCTAGTCTGCGAAGTTCCCAAGGGCGAGCGCAGTCACCTCGGAGCGATACCTTTCAACCGTTACCCGTCACAGAAAGCGGTGCCGAGGGGTCTCGACCACCTAGACTCGACCATCAGAAATACCCAGCCTCAGCTAGTCATGGCACACCATGTGACGGAATTGTTCAGGAAGCACTCCAGCTAAGATCACGCTATTTCAAAGGCCCAGCCATTCACAGCCCAAAAGATATGTCTTCATCCGCAGACCCTGATGACGGAAGTACTCGTTCGTTCAACGGTGTTCCTCGCCGTCGCTCGAGTAGCTTGGAAGCCTATCTCTCCAAAGACAGAAGGCCGTTCAGATACAATGACCAACCAGTCATACCTACTGGTTATCCGATTGCGCCAAATAACGACCTGTCGACCGTTAGGTTTGATGTGAGCACGCGCATTACTTCCCCCAGTGAACCTTCCCAGTTTATCCCTTCCATCGTGTTCAGATTCCTTATTCCAACCACCGCCGAGTGCACGGGCACGCAATGTCTTCATGGCATTCACCATCTGGATTTCATCCTCCCGGGTCGGATCCTGTGGTACCTTATGTTGCGTCGCACGTACTACCTCAACATCTTACATCACAATATCTCCCTACTTCCGTGATCACGGTGCCGCCATCCCCATTCTCACAGTCATCTAGCGCTAGCTATGACATGTATCTTCAACATGGAACTTCCGGTGACATCAATACTGCCAATCAAGTGCGCCATAGCTATTCAGGGCTGCTTCATTCGACGGGGCACAGCCATATTCCAGGGATTATACCCGACGACCCAATTGATCATCAAAACAATCACAGGCCAGTATTATCTTGTGGGATGCCTATGCTAGGCTTTCCTTCTATCTATCACTCATCAAAAGGATCGTGGACCGCTCATCGTAACTTTCAAAATGTCGAGATTAATATGTTGGAACCCATTTCTCCTAGTGAAGTTAGAAGATATCAACGGAAAATCAAGCCGTGTGTACTACTTGGTTACTACTGCATTCGCTCAGGAATCACACGAATTTCTCTAGGTCGAATAAAGCGTGGAAAGACGTATATATCCATCCATTCACACGAGCATACCGAGAGTAAGACACCTTCTACATCGGTAAAGCTGAGTTGCTAACTCCACTAATATTAATTTTACAGTGACCCTTTGACACATGAGGACCATGAACGTGCGGGGTGGTTTCAGAAAATACACCCAGAGGGAGCAGTATACTACTTACACAAAGAAAGGGTACGCGACTTCCCACCCTCCACGGGCTAGAATGAGCTCACTGTATTTCTATGTCAGAGGATTTTTACGGACGCGCCTCTAGCCAAGCTTGAATATCTCTGTGCTGCTGAGGAAGCCTTCCGAGTTATCGAGGGCATGATAGATCCAGCTATTCACGATTTAGCCATTGACACTGAGATGGTTCTGGAGCTGACTAAAGTAGGAGAAAAAGAAGACGATCACCTGTCTTTCTTTCACTGTGGCTATTACTTAGTGTCCCATGACACTAGATCCGTCTTCTGGCCGCAAGACTTCATGCCCATCAAGATAAGCGGCAACGTCAAGAATGTCGATCAGCTTAGTCATCTAGGTTGCCCATCATATTCATAGCGCAGGCGGATTCTGATTGCTTATGACTAAAGGTCATGCCATGGAGTCAGAGTACTGGTATGCACAAATGAGTCAGTCAGCTGTCTCTGTTTTATACATGATCTGATACCTTTTTGAACCCTAGAATCAGTGTTGAGTGATTGCTCACCAAACCTCAGGACTCATTGCGAGTTTTTTCCCAGCCACAGGCCAGTTCCGAGACGAATTACTGAGGAACTGGAAGAAGTGGTCTACTTTTCCATTGCAGGTATCAGATCTAAGTTATGTCTAATGAACTCTTTTTGAGTTTCGTTGTACAGAAACAGTTACTTCTGATGCTCCTTCCCTATCGCCCTTTAACTCGGAAGAACTTTCGAAAATCGCAGATTTTGCACATCATGCACATGGTAAGTCGATCGTGTATTATATAAAAGTTAAGCTGAAAGCGCCAAAGCAGTGGCAAATAAACCGCTTGATCACACGGCATGTACAATAGGTAAGTTACTCGGGATATATAAGGTGTTCCATGACTGAGCCTTTCAGCGCGATTCATGCGGATTTTTGGTAGGAATTCAACCTGAAAATCTCCCGTCTCCTTCCTCTGATAAAACGGTAGCCCGAAACAGATTTTATAACTTTCACGGCCAGATGTCTGCCCGATTGTATGCTGATCAGAATATACAAGGCAGCCTCGCTGCGCTACGGCACATGAGGATCTTGCCCTACCATGTTGCTCGATGGGAATCACCATCCCATTGTACTGGAAACGAAAACTCGAACACGAGTAGACACAGTGCCTGTGGATATCTGTCGTGCAGTCCAGAACCCTACATCGTATACAAATACCGAGCACTAACACGAGATATGCCACAGCCACAATGCCAAACATGTACAATGCCAAGCCGGGCATAATTTTGAATATACGAGTAATACGAAGAGCAGACAAGAAGAAAATCACTGCTCATACGAATTTTCTCGCCGGTGATGTTCAATGCTCCAGATGTACATTTGAAAGGCCTCCAAGTTATATGGGTCGACCAGCTTCTGAACTACATTCCGTGGAAGAAGTTTGTCTCTAAGTGCCGGGCCGAGTGGACAGGATACACGCTCCTTGTAAGCTGAAGTGACATACCTCATACACGAAACACTGATGCTTAATTATTTCTCACATCTGTAGTCTACTGTTATCTTGAACGCGAACATCGCTTTCCTGGCTTTGGCTAACGTCACCCCTCAGCCAGGGACAATTCAGTCATATCCTCAAACCGCTGCTCAAGCACTCAGCTACGCATCTACGGTGGCGAGCTTTGGATCGGTCGTGTTGGGCTTGGTTCTCCCTCGGCGAAATCATACGGGGTCTCGCAAAGCAGCTGATCATGACGTTGGTAGCTCTTGTTGTGAATTTGTGTCAGACTACTGACAATGTACAGAGTTATTTGCTCACCAAAGTCACGGGCCATGATCTCGGGCTTGAGGCATTGGCTATTGTACTAAGCCTACCTTATGGCCTGCTTTTATGGGGGTAAGGTGTAACTGCTCCGTTATATTCCGATTCAGATGACCTATCTTTGGCAGGATGGTATTTTTTATAGCGGCCTTTGCTGCGTTGACATATCAATCAACCGACATTTTGGTAAAATCAGTGGTCAGTGCTGTCGGAGGCATCACAGTGATACTGGTCTTGTCACCTGTGGTCATGTCTCGGAGACTGTATTACTGGATACCTCGTTTTGGAGACTCAAAGCCTAGTTCATTTGGGCGGGAGATTATGAAGGTACAATCGAGACTCGACAGCACCGCACTCTCGGATCCGGCGGCATACCTAAGGCGCGAGCGTGGAGCCATCAGCCCATATCCTAGGGCGAAGGAGCTAGTTCCTGTATCCTTACGGAGTCACAGAAGGCCCTCAACTTCGTTGCCGCCACCGCCACTGCAGGCCGATGCCGAACTACGAAAAGCCAAGAGATACATACCACCATCTATATCTGAACCATATGTACCGTCAGTGCCAAGTTCGCCTTCGTTGGAGGAGAGGCAGCCTCCGGAAGCGTCATGACGAAGTGGCTTTCCATTGAAAATGCATCGTCATCTCATTAAGTAGTACAACTGAACTGTACAGATCGATTTGATTATTCTTCATTACTCAAATAATTTTATGGAATCAAAGTCATGCCTGTGGAGGCTCAGCTGACCCTCGATACAGTGCTTCTTTAGCTTTAAAGGTTCTGAGGTCGATCCTCTTCTCAACTTCTCTCGAAACAAAGACAATAAACAGACGCAAACTCATAGTATCATATAGTGTGATTCGCAGATAAGACATGACATCTTTATTTGTCCATCAGAGCTGTAGTACCAGTAGCCTCCTGTAGCCTACCTGTCGCTCTTGATTATATCCCTTCGATCGTTCTTGATGCAACGAGTGCTTGAGCACCTCACATTGAGTGCCCGAACAATACATCAAATAGCCCTTTGGTATGTAAGGTATGATATATACCGTCTCACCATCATTTACCCGAATACTTAATAGAACTTGGGAGAGTCGGAGTAACCTGAGGTGTGTACGGGAGCAGGGCCACGGGTTGTTGGGCGATCCGCTGATAGCCAGAAAGTTCTGTCCGAAAACAATGTATCAGCCATCAGTACTTTGTCAGACAAAGGCGTATACTGCACCTGCAAATATGGACCGCTTCTCCCGTTTCTCTTTACGGTACAGGTATACCATTGCCACCAATGCTGCCAATAGAACACCCCCGATAACACTGCCGACAACAGCTCCTGCAAGCGCTCCCGATGACAAATGCTTTGACGAGTCGGACGACGAAGCTTTTGACGCACCCTAGTCAGGCTCAAGAATAGTAAAGAGCCAGCTCGGAACACGAGGGACGTACGCATGTATTCTAAATAGTCAAACCAGAACGTAGAGGGTCCTGCATCTGTGTGATTGATCACTAGCGTGTGCTGCCCATCCTCGAGGATATCCGACTGAAAGACAGGGAAGTGGTACGATTGCGAGGAGACATTGAGTGATGTGAAGCTCGCCGGCTGGCCGCCATCAATGGTGAACTCTGTGATAGGGAAGCCCCAGCCACCTGGAGCGCCTGTTGATGCATACACCCCAATCCAGGTCCCTTGTAAGGGGGAAGGTAGAAGTGAATACCAAAGGTAGGTGCAATGTAACGTTGATACTAAGCTCGGAGTCGAAACGTACCAGTGAACGTGAATGTTGCTGTGTCACCCTGGCTGTGCGACCCGCTAGTCGTGGTGTCGTACTCGGGGTAGATCCCTCCAGCTGTCCAGTTTCCCTGATACTGGATCGCATATGCGTGGTCGTCGACTACGACTAGAGATGACATGAGTATGGCTGGGCGGCGGCGAGGGTACAAGACGAAGCGGCAGACACAAGGACCATGACTTACATAAAGTTATAGGCGCCCATATCGCCTATACGTACCAAAAATGCAGCCGAATAGCTCCTTTATGTCATACTACGTTTCAAGTCCATCAAGGCGCTGTCGAACATCTGAGCTCTTATTGGGCTGTCAATCGCCACTACCTCCCAACTTACTAGTGCTCCCTTACGCGTTGCTAACAGAGCTTCTGGATGGTGATTGTGCCTCGACTAGACCTGCCCGGAGGATGACCGAAAGCACTTGGACTTATTTGGCCTACTGCTTCGCAAGAACATGTTGAGAACAAAATGTTGAGACTCATCTAGGGGTACGGATGAAAAGAGGCAAGTGTGAGCATAGTTTTACCGGAGCACAGAAAACCTTAGGTGCTTGTGTCGCAAGTGAAGCGGCTGATCGGGCAGCCACCGGGACGGCCCTAAGGCCTCAGACCGCCGCTTTCGACGCGGACATGTACCAAGGCAACAATGCAAATATCTCATATTGGATACGAAGGAACTGTGCGGAAAATTTGTTTCAAAGGTCCGGTGGGACACGGATGGATGCGCCATCTAAGTGTTGTGTAGGATTAGTATCCTTCTCACCTGAGCACTGAAGGTAAAAACGCGAAACGGCCAGCACCGTAAAGCTCAGCTGCATTTGCTGTGTTCACGTTCGTTTCATAGATCATGCATTATCGGTATCGACGATAGACCGGAGATTATGATACTGTAGATGCAATTGACGATGGGGAATCCAAGAAATAGATGCAGAAGACACGGGAATGCAGCGCTCGTGCTCATGTTGGGAGCTAGTGATCATCACTGGCCAGCAGTCGATGAATCATGGCGCTCTGCGTAGGGCCCCGAGAGCCTAGGAGATGCGTGGGTAGGAGATAAGTATCGCCATTTACCAGAAATCACAAGCGGAGGCGTCGACGGAGCAAATTATATAGACAGCGGAGACGAAGAGGGAGAGGATATCGCTGAGAAAGAAGACTCCGGGCTGGATAGCCAAGCGCTGTCGCTTACAGAAATGTCGGCACCATTGCCTGAAGTTTCAACGAGTTTCGAGTCCCCCGAGCTAAATAGTGGGGAGGACCTCAGAAGTGGAGAGTCCAGACGACTGGGAGTCACTGCAGTCCCTTTAGCTCAGGCGTCATCTTTCGATCGACGGAGCCTTCGATAAGGAGAGCTAATAATGTCCTCAGTCGTAAATGAGCCTTCCGGTGGCGATTCGTAGCCTACAGGCCAGACCGCAGGGGAAGCAGCGCTGGCGGGAAGCGACGGAGAGCCCGTAGACGTGCTGGATCCGGAGCTAGAAGATCTAGAGAGAGACCTTGTATGATGCCTTCGATACGGAGAGTTGACGATGTCCTCGATGGTGAAAGAGCCCTCGGGCGGATTGGAGCGGCCCGTGGGCCATGGTTCCGGGGAGATAGGACTAGCGGAAGAAGTGGAGAGTCGAGACCGGGGTCTAGGTGTAGCATGCGATTCACCAACGTAGGATACTTCTCTGGACGTGGACGGAAGCTCCGGAGTATACAAGAGCCTCGGCGTGACAGCGAGATTTGCCTGAGAGTGTTTCTCAGCCTGATGGATGGTGCAGACCTCAGCGGCGGAAGATAGATGAGGAGACCGAATGTAGACGTACCTCAGCTTCCGACAGCGTCCATATACTCCTGAACTTCCTCAAGATAAGGGTAGAGCGATGAACCAAGAAAGCTTCCCAAGTTGAACGAGCAGAAAGACAAACGCCAGACACAAGTGCGAGAAAGATAGCCACCCCAGTACCGAAGGATAATAGGAAGAGTGCTACAGTGCTAGCCAAGGCTTTAACGAAGGAAGCATATAAGAACGCAACACGAGTAACGCAACGAACAGGGATGGCGAGAAGAGAGGAAAAGACAGCCATGGACGCAGAGGTGACGCGAAGGAGGGAGTGAAGTACAGCCATGGGTGATGCAGATGTAGAGATTCGTGTATAGGTGTGGGTGTGGGCGTGGATGCAGGACTGGAGAGGACGGCGGTAGTTGTGAAGGTTGGGATGAAAGAGGAATGAGAGAAAGAGCTTGCTCGAGGGCGGTTTTTATGCAGTCCTGGCAGGCTGGGGGCTTGCATGTGTCGAATTGGCCCAGGAGGCTGACATGGTCGACCGAGCTCTGTGGTTGGTTTCGAATTCTGTACTGGCTATTCATGTCCCATCTCTGCACTGATGGAGGATGAAGCATAATAAGGAGAAAACTGAGGGTGAAACTCGGCGTGTTGATGATGGCACCAAAGAGGGAAAGGTAGACGCAGTAGGTGTTCGTTTGCTACCGCGAGTGCTTGTCTCTATTTGCAACAGTCTCTGTTTACACCAGTGCCCCACTAAGATTTGAATCAACGAAAGTTAATACGAACTTTTGCCGCATTCGTGGAGAAGATGATGAACGTCAGAAGGATACACTGTAAGGTGTCCCAGCTGCTCAGAGTGTCATGCGAGAGCCTTTACTTATCAGCGTCAGCGAGAATGAAGTATGATGTAAGTAGTGCGACTGACCGAGGTAGCCAATACAAACGCGAGGTGGAACATGTCCTGCCCGATTTCAACCTCGAGCCTATATCCCTATAGTCAACGACTCGGTGAGCCGCTCCCTGCATGAGTAGAAGAGAAGCTGGGACAGTGGACCGTCGGGAGTTGGAGACCGTCGGGACCTGCCGCAGTTGGCCGCAGCAGCGGGAGTAAATTCCGACTCCCATCACCACTGCAATCAGTCGATCGACAGGTGTACATTGACACAGGTGCACACACTGCAATGTACACAGTCCTTCTAGGGGTGAAAGTGGTATGTCAGCACTTTTCACGTTTCGCGGAGACTGAACCCCGAGGGCACTTTCTATATAGACTTCTGAACCTCCAGATTGAACTATGTCATTGGAACATTCCGAACCCGTTTCCCATAGTAACCCACAACCTCGACTACCATGGAATCGCTGCTTCCAACCCAACTTCCGACCAAACTCCAGGATGTTGACCCCAACGTTCTAGGACTCGCCGTCGTCTCGCTATCGGCCTGTGCATTGGCATGGAAGAGCTACTCATCTCGCACCTCGCGGCCTATGCCCCCGAGCCCGCCGACGAATCATTGGTTCTACGGCCACAAGGTTACACGAAACTTGTTAGTTGCATCACCTTCAGAATACGTCCAGCTGACCCACCCCATACATTAGACCTTTCCTTCAAATCGAGGAGTGGATCAAGGAGTACGGTCCCATCATTACACTCAGAGATGGAACAGAGAAGTACGTTGTCATAGGCGGACAGCAGGTACGATACTTTGGCCATAGCGAGCGAAGGCATACGCTCAACCATTGGTGCAGGCCCTCTTCGACATCATGGAGAGACAGGGCGGTCTACTAGCTGACAGACCCCACCGCATATCCATCACCGAGTTGCTCACTGGGGGCGTTAGCATCGGATTCGCTAATGGTTCTCGACTTCGTCTCATGCGACGGTGAGTATCCACCAGTCTTCTAAGAATCTGGCTTAACCCACCCCCAATTCACCAGCGCAATGCACACACACCTCCAGCCAAAAGCCGTCGGCACCTACGCCCCTCTGCAAATGGAACACGTCCGCGGGACTATCATTGGCCTGCTCGACGAGCCGATGAAATACCAGAGTCACGCGCGGGCGTACGCTGCGTCCGTCGTGCTCAAGGTCGCGTACGGCAAGAACACGCCTACCTCCGCGTCTGACCCCGAGGTGCAAGAGATCGAGCGCAACATGACCATGACGCGTAAGGCGCTCCGCCCCGGCGCGTACCTCGTCGACTACGCGCCGCTTAGCTGGCTCAAGTATATACCCTGGTACGGATCGGAGCTCAAAAGGACGCACGAGAGCAACGCAAAGGTGTTTGTGGAACATCTGGAGAACGTGCGGAACAAACTTGTGCGTGTGGACGTGTGATAGTCAGACTCTGCCGAGACTTTCGCTCATGCTCAGTCTGGTTTTACAGAACGATGGCGATGCTGGCCCATCATTTAGCAAACACCTATTCGAGAATGAGAGCAGTTATGGAATGACGCGCAAGGAGATGGCCTTCCTCGCTGGCTCGTTCTTCTCCGCTGGCTCTGAAACTGTAGGCACCCACTCGTTATCTGCAAATATTTTCTCGCTCACCAAGGCTTTGTGCAGAGCGCGATTGGAGCGTGCCAGATCATGATGTCGGCCGCACTCCACCCCGAAATCCAGGCCCGCATACAGGCAGAAATTGATGCCGTTGTCGGGCACGACAGAGGTTCGTGCGCGGCACGAATGTGTGCTACGCCAATGCAGCTGACTTGACATCTCTCACCAGCGCCGACATTCGATGACGAGAACTCGCTCCCTCTCATCAGGGCATTCGTGCAAGAAGTACATCGGTGGCGGCCAATTGCTGCTATGGGTGGGTTCTGCTGTCCACATCGTGTAACGCAATATTCAATGACACTTGTCTGCCTTAGGTCTCTCTCACTATACCACTGACGACGTTCTCTGGGTAAGCCTTCTCTTCCATCTTGCCCGATATCCTATCCTGACCGTGCCTACTACAGAATGGCTACTGTATTCCCAAGGGAACGGCTGTCTGGGGGAACCAATGGACGGCATCCCGAGACCCCGACTTCTGGACCGACGCCAACAAGTTCGACATCAACCGGTGGCTCACCGAAGACGGCGCCTTCCGCGCGGACCTCAACGACATGCGGCACCTCGCCTTCGGCTTCGGACGGCGGTTCGTCCCTTGCATTTCCCCCCATGTCCTAACCTTCCTGACCACACGATTTCCCGTATTCGTATTAATACGCAACAGCATCTGCCCAGGCCAACACCTCGCCCAGCGCTCGCTCCTCATCAACGCCATCGTCATCCTCTGGGCCTTCCGCATTTCGCTCGATCCAACCAAGTACTCCAAGGACGCGCTCCGCCTCCTGGCGGAGAGCCCCGAGATCGACTCGTTCGCGTACATGCGCGGCGTACCGACCAACAAGCCCGCGTTCAGCTACGTGTTCGAGCCGCGCATCGAGCCGGACCGGTTGCGGGAGATGATGAAGGACTACCCGTATGCGTGAGCTATGGGCAGTCTTATGTTTTTTTTCGAGATGGACTAGTATATAGTGATGGACGATATGTAATAAGTTTGGGCCTAGCTCTGTCCATATAAATTATCTGACTCGAAGGCTCTCAGCTCCATCGTCGCCGTCACTGCAGGTGTATGCCAAGAAGCTACGGAGAGCCAGGAAATTCATGCCCCCAACTACCCCTGAATCATTTGCATCGCCCGACCTCAGTGCAAAGTTCGCTTTCATTGAAGGAGAGATGGTCTTCGGATGACTGATGAAAGATACGAATACGAACACGAAATGTCTTTCCATGGACAATACATTATCATCTCAATAGTACATCCGAACTATGCAGATCGATTCGATCATTTTTCATCACTCAAACAATTGCATGAATCAAAGCCGTGCCTGTGGAGACTCAGCTAGTCCTCGGTACAGCTCCGCCTCAGCTTTGAAGAGCGTGCCCACAACGGGGGCATCGAACAGAGGGAGGATCTGAGCGGTGAACGCGATCAGCGGGATCAAACAGGGATAAATAACCATGAATCTGTTTACCTGAGTAGCGAGCATTCCAGCGACGCCTTTCTTGATATCTACCCACCAGAATATGCTGACCACCTAGTTAGCGATCTGGTCAAGACTAGTCGATTACACAACAACTCACTTGCACAGCGCACACCAGTTGATAGACCCGGGCGAGCGGCCTGTTGGTAGCTCGTTTTTGGCTGTATAACGATAAGAGTGGTGTCAATAGCCATGCTTCGCCGTTAGGTGTTGGCGCACGTACATATCATGAACGTCAATCCCCATCCCTTTACAGAACTACGCAAATGAGTGTTTGCATCAACCTTTCTGCGTTAGTCGAGATAAATATGACGCACCCTGGGAAGATATTCGGCAGGTCGTTAGCCAGATCCTCTCGAGAAGAATACACAGGAGCGTCCATTGCAGGTGCGAGCGCAGAAGGCATATTATCTCGAGTAGCGAGAGCTACAGTCTGAGGCTTGAGAATCTGAGCGCCATTCCACCCCTTCCCGTCGTTCATGAAGATGGCGATCATCATGAGATAGTCGTGTATCGTAGAAAATAGTCCGCCACCACCCCTTGAACGCTGGGAGTGAGATACTGAGAAATATGAACCGAAGTAGGAACATACGAATGGAATTCATTCTCCACGGCGTAACCAATTGGACGATGTGCTGGCGAAACCGCTTGTGAACATAGTGGGTGAATCGTTTCTAAGAAGAACTAACGCTGCTCAATGATAGTATCCTCAGAAAGACGCGCGTGCATTCCCGAAAGCCTGGGACGCATGTGTGGTTTGACCTCGAACGCTGTGTCTTTCAGGCCAAGAGGACCAAAGATGCTGAAGACAGATTATGAGCTTAGTCGAGTTTTACTATAGAAAGGTTGGCGTACTGGTCGTCAAAGTATGTACCAAGCTTCTTCCCCGTGACGCGTTCGATGAGGATCCCAACCCAATCAATGCCTAATACAGTGAGCATACTAAAATAGAGGGAGTTGGAAACTATCGCTTCACCTATCCCATACGAAAACGTGCTGTTTGGCTGATGAACGAGAGGCTGATTGAAAGCATCCGGGCGTCTACGAGAAATATCGTCAACTCGATAAACGAAGAATGTCTAGACTCTAGCGATGTACCCAGAAAACTCATCCTGGCATGGCCCAGTCCCGACGATATCTCTGAGCTTCTTGTCGAAAAACGTGTAAGAGTGTCCGCTCGTGTGGGTCAAAAGACTTCGTAATGTGGTTTCCCCTTGTATGGGTGTGTAGCTGAAGCCGTTGACGTTGCTACCTGAGACGACCTTCGCCTGCGACAGCTCGGGCAGGAGCTGGGCAATTTGCGCCGCGTCATCTAGCAACAGCTTTCCTTGCTCAATGAGCTGGAGTGCTGCGATCCCGGTCACCGTCTTCGTAAGAGACGCTATCCACAAGACCGTATCAGGAGTCATCTACATCGGTGGCGGGGAGTTGCGTCGGCGCAAGGCGCTTTTAAAGCGGTTGTTCTACTTACCTTAGCCTCTTGCCCGATGGCTCGTACGCCCTCTGCACCGACATAAAGAGGCTTTCCGTCCCGCCCAACTACCACATCATAGACGATTTGTCAGCTCTGAATGCTTCCGATATAACATTGGAACATACCAGCAGCGAACAACACTCCGGGTATCTTGTTCTTGTCACTGCTCGTAACATCTCGCAGAATCTTGTCAAGCTCGGCTTTGGTATGGTCGGGGAGGCTTGCCATCGCGGGTCACAAGTTGAGATGACGCTTTTGCAGATGGGCCGGAAGCCTTCACCGAGCTTTAAAGCCGATGACCTCTACGGTTGTAATTCAGTTCCTGAACGAGAACGGATGCTTACCCGCAGTGCGCTGCGCAGCATACCAGATGACCTGCCTTCTTGAATGGATGATCGCATTCTCCACCAAACGTTACGTAGGCTCGAATCAGACTTCTCACAAAGTCTATACAGCGCTCTTATCTTGCGTGGCTCGTGGGATTGAAGAAGGGCATCCTTAGCAGAACCTATCGGGGGCTGCACTTGTAGAGAACCGGCAGCCCAGTCATTGCACATGGCTGAGTTGCTCAGTGTATAATTAAGGACATACGTTCCATGAAAATCACAAGCACGTCCGTATAGCACGAGCTGGGGTATCGGCGGTCGGAGAGCGCGGAACTCTTGAACGTTCTGAACCTCGATGGCATTACGCCTAGATTCTCGTGATCATCAAAGGAAGCGCGTAATGACACGTGCAATGCATTATGTCACCACGGTGTCCGTTGAAACCCCAGTGTTCTATTCTTCTCATAGACAAACTTGGGATACGATTGCCTGTTTCAACGCAGAATCATCGCACGACAGCAATATCACAGTTTGGAAAGGATATTACCACAGACCACCGTCCTTACCTTGACCCGGCGGCTAGCCGCACTTCCCCACACCAATAGCTTAAGGGGTACATATTCTTCTGTGAGAATTATGCAAAGGCTGCAAAGGTACATCCAGTTAAACCAGGCGGAGGCACCGGAACCTACATAAAGGCGACAGACTTTGCTATCGACCCTCTGTCTCTTCGTCTCTCCAGCCATGATCGACCCGGAATACGACGTGATCATCGCGGGCGGTGGATTTTCTGGCGTGTACAATCTGATTCACTTAAGTAAGCTGGGGCTTCGCTGTAGGCTAATCGACCCAGGTTCTGCTTTGGGTGGAACGTGGTACTGGAACACATACCCGGGGGCACGCGTGGACTCAGATGTTCCGCTCTACGAGTTCCCATTCGATGACCTTGCAAAAGGATGGACATGGTCCGAGCGATTTCCTAACTCAGACGAGTTGCGAGCGTGAGCTAACCTCGCCGTCTTACGGATACGATGCATTACGGTACTCACAAATTTGACAGATACTTCGCTTACGTTGCTGAGAAGTACGATCTCCTCAAGCATACGTGGATGGAGTGCCGCGTAAAGGCCGCCCAATGGAACGACGATGAACATATCTGGAAGATCACGGCGAATGGGGCAGGAGGCTTCCATCAATCAACGGCTCGGTTTTTTATAATGGCGGTGGTAAGTAGACTGACGAGATGCCTTCAGTTTGAATAGTAGCATTAACCGGGATATAGGGGTCGACGACCGAGCCATATATTCCAAAAATCGACGGACTTGCATCGTTCCAAGGTCGTTGGTGCCACTCGGGACGATGGCCCGAGGGAGGTATCAACGTCAAGAACAAACGAGTTGGCGTGATTGGAACGGGAGCGAGTGGTGTACAGATCATACAGGAGATCGGATCGCAGGTGAGAGGCATTATATCGACAGAGTCGAGGAACCTGAGCGTTTACTAACAATGAATTGCAGGTCAAACACTTGACAGTCTTCCAACGCACCCCAAACTTGGCTCTTCCCATGGTCCAGTATAAGATGTCGCGCGATGTGCAGGCTCATTTCAAGCCTGTTTACGACAACATCTTTGAGAAGCTGCCGACGACTTTCGGCGGTTTCAATTTCGATTTCGTTCCCAAGGTGACCAAGAGCGACCCTCCTGAGGCCCGTGAGGCATTCTTCGAGAGACTTTGGCAGATGGGCGGCTTCAACTTTTGGCGTTAAGTTATTATAGACTGACGTGCTTGTCATGAGGCTGACCTGCACAATTGTAGTCGCCGGATATGCCGACCTCTTCTTCGACAAAGAGGCGAGCGATGAAGCGTATAAGTTCTGGCAAAAGAAAACGTCAGCGCGCATCAAAGATCCGAGGAAGCGAGATATACTAGCGCCGAAGGTCGCTCCTCATCCGTTCGGCACCAAGCGACCTTGTCTCGAGCAGCGGTTCTACGAGGTCTTCAACCAAGACAACGTCGACTTGATCAATATCAAGGAAGATCCGATCGTGGAGATAACAGCCGACACTGTCCAAACGAGAAATACAACGACGGAGCTCGACGTGCTCATTGTGGCGACTGGTGAGTGGCTAGGTTGTATCGTCAAGACGGCGGTCTAACTTTAGAGTAGGGTGGGACAACATTACGGGTCCTTGGATGCGAATGGACCTAAAGGGCGAAAAGGGAAAGTCGATTCAGGAACACTGGAATGATGGCGTCAGCACGTAGTAAGTCCTTTGACTATTGAATACCTTGCGCGTGCGGGTATTGAAGACAGTCCTCAGCCTAGGCATGGCCACCAGCAACTTCCCGAACATGTTCTTCCTCTATGGGCCACACGGCCCTACCGCGTTCTGCAATGGACCGACGTGCATCGAGATCCAAGGACAGTGGATCGTGAAGACTATCAACCACCTCTATCAAAATAGTATCACTAAATTCGTCCCTAAGGCGGAGGCAACTCGTGACTTCACCGAACTCGTCGATACGATGTCCAGAAAAACGCTGCTTCACGATGTCGATAGCTGGTATATGGGCGCTAACGTTCCAGGTAAGCGGAAGCAGGCGTACAACTGGGCCGGAGGAGTTCCCGCGTATAAGCAGGAGGTCGACCAAGAGGTAGAAAGGAATTACCCGGGGTTTACCAAGGATACGGTAGGAGGTGTGGGATTGGCAAAACTGTAATACTGTATTTTATTAGCTCGAAAGACAAAACATGCGCATGATCAATTTCTTACAGAACATCATTGGTGGGTGTTCCTGGCGTGAAGAGAGAATGCGTAAGGTCCACCGCACATGACGCCCGAGGTGCCGCACGAAGAAGTATTCACTCCATTTCACAGCGGAACCATTCCTGAGAAAACAGAACGTGTCCATTTTTTCAATTCGCATATAGCTAGGCGTTGAGACGACAGTAGCCAGCTACAAACCCCCTATCTACTCCGTGCTCAGTTCCATCCCCATGGTGGAAGAAACTTACGATGTCGTTATTGTCGGGGCAGGGTTTTCGGGAATGTGGTCCCTCTTCAGGTTAGTCGAGTCCGGCTTTCGCTGCAAGTTGATCGAGGCGGGGTCGGACTTCGGCGGTACGTGGTACTGGAACCGCTATCCCGGAGCCAGAGTCGACACCGACGTCCCAAGCTATGAGTTCGAACTCGAAGAGCTCTGGAAGGACTGGAATTGGCCAGAGGTCTTTCCAGGAGGCGAAGATCTGAGAGCGTACGTCCCGAGTCAATCACGGGGTTTCAAGGGTGCCGATGTTTATACTTACTCTTCAGGTATTTCAAATCAGTTGGCCAGAAACTTGATCTTCGTCGACACTGTCTGTTTGACCATGCCGTGAGGAGTGCCCACTGGGGCGAGATATCTCACTTGTGGAATGTCACAGCTGACGGTGCTGCTGGGGTGTATGAAGCAAGCAGCCGTCACGTCATTTTTGCCCTTGTAAGTATATTGACTCCATTTTACGAGCGAGCTCTCACCGCATTTACGTTCAGGGAACTTCTGCCCAACCGTACATTCCGAACATCAAAGGCTTAGATCGTTTCTCTGGTCATTGTATGCATACGGCTCGATGGCCAAGAGATGGACTGGAAACTCGAGGCAAGCGAGTAGGCATCATAGGGACAGGCGCGTCCGGTGTACAAGTCATCCAAGAGGTTGGACCTGTGGTGAGCAGACATTCGTCAACCAACGCTCAAGTCAGCCTGATCTATGCGCAGGCAGAGAAACTAACGGTTTTCCAACGAACTCCAAATTTGGCTATTCCAATGCGCCAACGAGCGTTGCAGGTGCAAGAACAGACAAGCGCGAAGTCCTCGTACCCGGATATCTTCAACAACCGCCATGGAACATTTACTGGGTTTTCCTATGACTTCAATCCGCGCAAAACTGAGGAGGATACTCCCGAACAACGAGAGGCGTTCTGGGAGGGGCTGTGGTCTTTGGGAGGATTCCGCTTTTTTGGTGAGCTGCGTCCTTCCGTGCTTGGAAAAAACACTCACTCATTGAACACCTAGTTGGGGGTTACCACGACCTTTTCTTTTCCAAGGAGGCTAATGACTTAGCGTATGCGTTCTGGAGGAAGAAAGTGAGCGAGCGTATCAGAGACCCAAAGAAACGTGACCTACTGGCGCCCGCCATATCACCCCATCCCTTCGGAGCCAAGAGAGTATCTCTTGAGCAAAACTACTGGGAAGTTGTGTGCCAGGACAACGTCGATATAGTAGATGTAAACAACGACCCCATCGTCGAAGTTACAGCGACTGGCGTCAGGACGGCGAAGCGAACGTATGACCTGGACATCCTGGTACTAGCGACAGGCAAGTGACATCTTCGCCGATCCTGATCTGGCATTGAAACCATGAGCTTCTTCAGGTTTCGACGCATACACAGGGAGTTACCTTCAGATCGACATCCGAGGAGAAGAGGGTAGGACCATCCAAGAGCACTGGCGAGAGGGAGTACGAAGCTAGTGAGTAAATTGCGTGTTTCCGATAGAAGCTGTGTGCTCACCACCCTCAGTCTTGGAACAACAGTCAACAAGTTTCCTAATCTCTGGTTCATGTACGGGCCCCACTCTCCTGGCGCATTCAGCGTTATGCCTGCTCTCGCGGAGGTCCAGGGTGGATGGATCGTAGACGCCATGAAACAGCTTAGAGCGGAAAATGTCACCAAGTTCGTCGCACGGACTAACGCTGCAGAAGCATACAGTCAGCACGTCCGCGAGCTTGCCCCGCCGTTGCTGCTCCAGGCGAAGAGTTGGTATCTTGGTGCTAACATACCCGGCAAGGTCCAAGGCATACACGACTATTTTGGAGGCGTCCCCGCATACATTCAAGAGCTCAAAGAAGAGGCGGAAAAGGGATATCCAAACTTCCAAAGGGCTCGCTTAGCAGACAGTCATAAGGGAGAGGAGGTTCGGGCAAAACTTTGACGATGCTATATTGTTGGACAGTAGTCTTTGACTCCTTGGAGGTACTAGCTAACATGATCCTGTACGATATAAGCGAATTAGCCGTTTGTAACATGCATTTTTTCTTTCTTCTGTTTACGAACCTTTACAAGATGTAAGTGGTGGTAGTAGGCAAAGGCAAGTGCATGCGACGTGGTCGCACCTTGCGTCTTACTAGACAAACTCCCACCACCTCCAGCACCGCTTCAGCTTTCCTTTCTCTGTGCCACGACGGTAACAGTCATGAACAATCCTCCCTCTACACCGTTTACACCAGCTACATTCATCCAGGCCCACCCAGGTCCTCAGACACCCGGAACGCCGACACCAGCACCTCGCGGCAGAGGCACAGGCCTCAAGCGTGGCCGCAAACCTCGAGGGGCCGTTCCCAACGTCTCGACAGACTCAACTCGCTCCTTCAGCGCCCAAGCAGGCCCAAGCACACCCACCCCTACTTCTCAATTCACGCCTGTACAATGGACCCAGCCCGCCATGCCTGCCACCACTGGCTCGTCCTCCAAAGCCGGCTCCGTGCAGCCAGGCGCTACCTCGGATGACCCAAGTAGATCTATCGTCGCAAGCCCGACAGAGATGGAGACGGGGGAGCAGAGGCAGGGATCGACGGCACCGCAGCCTATGGGTGCGGGTGCGAGGGGATCTCAGCAGCCGGGTGCGACAGGCGGAACGCCAGCTCCTGGTGCACGCCCGGATGAGGATGCGGAGGGGGAGGATGAGATCCTCCCGGCGATGGCTGATGACGACTACTCGGCGCAGCTGTCGTGGCAGAGTCAGAGCAAGGACAACTTGAAGTACGTGTGCCTATGCGGCCACTGTCATGAACGTTTGAAGCTGAACTGCTTTCTTCAGGGTGCTCATGGACAACTTCAGTCCCGCACAATATGATCGTTTTGAGGCGTATCGGAGACATGCTCTGCCTAAACAGGCCGTCCGCAAGGTACCCCTTCAGCTTCTTGTATATACCCATTTATTTAGTCAAATCGCAGGTCATCCAGCAAACAACCGGTCAGCAAGTTTCTCAGCCGGTCGCTCAAATTGTCGCTGGTTTTGGCAAAGTCTTTGTCGGGGAGATTGTCGAGAAAGGTACGTTCATAGCAAACTGGAACATATTTAGACGCTTAATTTTGCACCGGGACACCGCGCAGCGCGAGAGGTTCAAACACGTCGCAACGAGACTGGTCCGTTAACGCCTGATCATCTGCGCGAAGCCTACCGGATGTATCAAGAGGAGACTGGTCGCGTAGGAAGTGCTAGAGCAGGCAGAGGACGCCGACTTTTCGTTCGATAGAATGTGACGGGGAACTTGGAGTCTTGGACTTTCGTTCTCGTATTGCACGTATGCTCAACTCTGAACTTGATGTGTAATATAGGGTATGGAGTTGGGCGTTTATATCGCATTAATGGGGTAGTGGTAACCTGGGTCGTTGCCATCGACCCGCCGGGGGTTCGATTCCCCCTTAATGCAATCATGAGTTTCATTTTTCCTTCTTCCTTGTACACTCTTCGCAGCCTCCTTTTGTTCTTACACCGCACAGCCCTGGTGCCGGTGATCCTTCATAGAGTAATGCTGACAATCACACAAGGACAATCAACAAGTGTGAGCAATTTCCACCAGACACGAGTGGAGCATCAAACTGAGAGCAAAAGCGGTTAGTAGCTTATGTTAGGAGTGCCTCCTGCGCTCAAGATCTCGTTGTAACAATCGGATTCACCGACCAGGTAGCTCTGTCACACCAGGGCCAAGGCTTCGTGGATTTCCGAAGTCCAAGTCCAAGGCCTCGAACGTCAATACGCATCTTCAGGGGTTATTGATTTAAGTAACATGCAGATATGATAACGGCACACGCTCGCGCTCAACTAACTTGAACCGACGCAGATTCGTGATACACGCTGGCAGCAGACTTCATCAGAGAGTAAGATGTTGATAAAACAAACGAACGTCAGCAGCGAGCCCTAGCTTGAAGTGAAAGAGTTTTTGCAAGGGCAGATCAGACGTGCCTCTCGCCTGTCAACACGCGTTTCTGTTTTTCCGCCAACGTCCACATGGGGGAAGGTTGACGTTAGTGGGTGACTTCGAACAGATCAGTGTGTTGGTTGTATAACACCCATTCAGGATGAAACATCCCAACCCGAGCTCATACACAATGGGCGCTCCGAGGAGATTCAGGAAAAACGACTGCTTCATCCATGTTGACGGCGACAGTCGTAACACGAGGCTGCCGCTTCTGCCCCTTTCGACGATAAAGGTCGCACGACAGCCCAAGCCACTTACGAGAAACGTGTTGGCGGCAAGTTGGCGGTGTTGCAGCGGCGGGAGAGTGGCGCGCAACGGGACGGTCCGGCGGGATTGAATTGAGCCAAAAGGCTTGTTTACGCCCTTCGAATGCTTCCAACGAATTCGAAGCTCTGATCCGCGTCCATCATGCATGCGTTGTTGGTGCCGGCACGTGTATCCCGATCTCCAAGAATTCAGCGACGGCCACAAAGGGAGATTTGGCTTATGAAGCGTACGGTATGTTCGGAAGCGCGAGTTTGCCGTTCTTGTTTATGGAAGAGACGCTACTATGAAGAGGTGGAACTTTGACGCCGATGCATTCAACGGAACATAATGCTCAAGATGGCAAGGTACCCGGGACCCGACATACGGTATGTGCATTGTGCACGTCATCGGCTGTGATGGCAGCGGATGCATTGCGCGCTTGCTCTTGATGTCAGCCAACGCGGAGGACGAGGGCGGATGGTTCGGACTCGAGAGCCGTAAACAGACAGGACACGTCGACCCCGCGAGGCAAGATGCCTCCGTCCTTGTGGAGGCGCTTGCCAACAATCATTGTAAATGAACCTCCTGGCGTTTACTCTCGTTTACTCCCTGCCGCCACCATGCCGGAGGAAAAAGCCGAGCCGAACCGGCCCTCCCAGTGATTGTCTCCGGCCCGCCCGCCTATTGGCGAATTAGCGTCCGTTCGCCTCAAGATCTGACCACTTCGAATGGCCCAATGAGCGCAGAGGAACTGGCGCGGTCACCTCGGGGCTTCCTGAATCCTGCAGCTTGGCTGCGAACCTGAGCGTGAGGATCTGGTGAGGAGTATCTGCGACGCTGTCTATCACTGATACCGACACAAGTACCGACAAGCTTTCAAGGACATTCCCGATGGTTTTCAGTGTCTCAAAGATAACACGGACCCACCAGTTGATGTCCTTCTAACCCGCCGTCTTGCTCCCCAGACATAGATTGTTCACATGCGAAAGACGCCTATTCAATAGAAGGCCGGCCATGACCACAGTCTGATAGAGGATATCTCATTGTAGTGGACCTGCACAACACGAGGCAGGTTTGATAAAGGCGTGGCGGCCGTGTGAGCCTATGTCATAAACCCCTGATATATCTCTGTCTCATTCGCCAAGAAGCCCAGAACAAACGAAGGCCAATTGGGTGCAAGCTCAATTATACAAGGTTAAGCTTCGGGGGCGCATATGGTCTGAAATGCTTTCTGGTCTCGAACTCTGATGTCTCCGAGGACGAGCTTATGCACACAACTTGACTCGAACTCGCAAGCGTTGGGCCAGAGCTTGTATACGCGGGTAAATCGAGGCACTCGACCGAGGACTGTCACCGAAGGTAAGTAAGCGCCGCCGGTACCTGCTGTTCATGCCACCGTCAATCTCTAACGTCCACCCGATGCGCGTTCCGCTCGATATCGACTCGGCCATGCGCCGAGTGCTGGGAAACGGAGCGGCGCTCAGCAGCGAAACATCACGACGACGGCTTCTGATAATTGAAACCAGGGCGCTGCCTCGGGCGCTCAGTCTACAACCCTGAGCTCAGTGACCCTGAGCCGAGAAGAAAGTCGAAGGAGTCGCCATAAGTAGCGGATGCAAGATGATATCGAACTCGGAAGTGGGGCGGGCATGCCGTCTACAGGATGGCATAACAACATCCTCAACTGCAATCTAAACTCCTGCGAATAAGGCCCGTGCAAAGTGAGACGGGTTTGTGTGACGTAGTCTTCCCCACTGCTTCGTACGTACCAGGGAGACGTGGAGCTGGAACCCCCTGAGTCATCTAGTGTGGGGCAGCGAAATGTTTACGGACGTCGCTGGGGTGTGGCGCGCGGCATTGACTGGAAGATCATGCTGGTGTCTCACTCTTCGTGATCGTCTCTTCCTCGAAACGGTTCCTGATTTAGATTTTGGTTCCGTGTCGGCTTCAGCCGTAGGAAGTTATTTGACATGAACTTACGAAGGAGTTGTGATGATGCTTCTCCACGTTCGCGGCAGATGCCAGTGGTTCAAGAGACGCGTTCACGTAAACTGTTGAAATCTAGGCGCTTAGCTTTCCTGGATCACGCTGATCCAACGCATTGCGGCCCACACTCGCCGAAGAGACAGGCCGATGCACTTTTACGGAGTGCTCATGGTGTCAACAGTTGCAAAAGTCACGACACTGAAGCGGGTTACCTCAGCAAGAATGTCAACCTTAACGGGTCGGATGTGACGGTTGCCTTGAGAAAGTACTTGGAGAACCTGACAGGAAGTCGCCGTCTAGTTCGATCGTCGAAAGTCTCAGTAGGTCGTCTTCCATTATCTGTGGATGAAATGAATGTTCCCAGCTGCGGCATGGCACGTGGAGTGCGGATCAGTAACTCGGCACCGATGATGGGCTGAATGGTCCTTCTAGACTTGAGGTTGAGGTTGAGCACGAGACAGTCAAATCACTCATCTAAGTACTGGTAGGCAGGTTTCTTATGGAAAGCCTGAGGGCGACTGCCTGCAGAGACTGCACTATGTAGCACTGTGGATTCCGATATTTGAAGGTTGTAATATTAGCAGTCACTTGTGTATGTCACTTTCTCTAATGACGATCTTCCTTCTATCGAAGGTAAGTTACGTTGGTAACATAATTAGATGCGGCCCCTTGCGCCCTCATGGTAGAAGCGTCTTACCCTCAAATGAGGGAAACGGAACACCAACTGTCATAGGTAGGTTTTCATTTCGGTGTTGTGAGGGATGGCGTTCGCCGGCGAAGGTGGTTGGCTTGAGAACTGTCTACTTATACTTAGCCCACTCACATGCACCCGCGAGTGAACATTCCGAAGCCCTGGCACATGAAAGGTACCTTTTGCTGAAGAATGGAGAGACAACAAGCTATGACGCGTAAGGAGAGCAGTCGGCATCACATTCAGAATGTGATTGCTTCAATGCATCCCCAGCTGGGCAAGTCTCCGCGAGCGCGCCGGGTCTCATATGTCATCTAGCAGTTAAAGCGAACAGATTCTTGATGGTGGCTGAGACCTCAGCGCAGCGGAAGCTTTTGTACGTTCAGGAGGGTTACGAGGGTGGAGGCTGGTGGAGGCAGGAGCGGAGCCTTATGGCAAGTAACGCTTACTGTTCAAAGTAGTGACGCGTCGGGGCCAAGACGCAGTAAGCGCCGGCCTGATGTGGGTTGAACAAGCCCCGCTTTTGACGATGTTTTCGGACTGTACCAAAACAATCAAGTACTTGACCGCAATGATGGGGCAAGGCGCAAGATCATAACTAAGTGTGTACGCACATATACCTAGTCCTCGATCACTTTCACGAGCGGACAGCAGGCTTCTCAAGAGACAGATGGTTTTCGATGAGGGACACGTCATCTTGAAAGGCGCAAGGAACCTTTCAAGACGGTGTTCTTCGTTCAAGTCGCGCGTGAAAAGGTTTTTTCCGAACGCACTGAGACAAAGCCTTTATTGAACCTTTGAACGGCTTGTAGTTGCTTCAAGACGCCGATGCGAGTGCAACCAAGAAGCTTAAGAAAAGTAGAACTATGTCAACACTTTGTAGCCTCAATCGGTATGTTCCCATCCCACTGGTGTTGGGAACGGGTCCATAGGAGTGGATATCTGTATTCGCATTTACCCCGCAGGAGCCGGTCATGAGACAGATCGGATAACGACGACCCTGCAATGTTTGACATGGGACAATCGTAAAGTGGCGGGCTGAGTGGGGTTTAGACCAAGGGTCGTCGAGTGATACAGGCCAAGGATAGTGCCATGGACACGTCGTTTGGCGCGAAAGCAGCGGGGTCTGGCCACTGCAGTTGCTCTCGTGGTTAAGTCAAGGAAGCAGATGATTGTTTACCCTGACTGACGGTTCAGAGGGGTCTGGCATGTCTTCGGCAGCGGTGGTAGAACCCCCAAATTCAAATTGATGGGCAATATTGGAGGGCTGAAGTCGAAATTGTCTCCGCTCGGTTGTCCACGTCGTCGTCGGCTCAGGGGTAATCCCCTGATGCGCAGTCTCATCGTTAGCAAGAACAAGGGGGAACACGAGGACGGAAACGAATCCATCGTAGACGGGATGAGGCCTGAGGCCGACATCGAGGCTGGAGCAGTGCTCGAGGTCGGCAAGCAGCGGGGACAGGAGGAAGTGCTTCGTGGGCCGAGCGGACGGGGAGCACAGCATGTGGACAGCATAGCATCCGGTAAAGTCGACATCTGGCCCGGATTGGTTCGTGTTGGTTGTGATCGGCCTGCAGGGGAGAAGGTTATGTAAATGTGGGAACTACCTAATAGGGATCAGCCAATCACAACACTTGCCCGCCAACTCCTCCTCGCTAAATAGCAGCGCGTTCCGAGCCTGTCCCCGGTACCACCCACCCTCCCCCCTCTCAACAACCCCTCTCACCAGTGACGCGTATCTGTCGGTCTCCGCACACGACATAGACACTCCGGCTCATTCTCCCACTTCTATTCTTCGGCCAGCATAGATCTCCCCCTGTAATACCTGTACACTTAACTCCTGTCTACCCTACACGACACGTCTCCATGGCCGCTACTTCCCAGCCTATTGCCTTCTCCGTCGCGGATAATTCTTCAGACATATACATGACCTCCGGCTCATACCGCAGTCGTAATGGATCAATCTCTGCCTCCTACTACATGGGCTCCCCCACATCGTGGCGCGCTGGCTCCTTTGGAAGCCGTTTCTACCCTGGTTGCTCTCCTGGCCAGTTGCTTGGTCCACTTGAGTAAGTGTTGACGTACGCCGTCTTATGGCCCCTATCTCATTCCGATCATAGTCCCAGCGAGTTCAAGTGCGCGAAGATGTCGTCCTCACTCGAGAGCGATTCCGGCCTTATGAGCGTTCTCGGTGCCCCTGAACGCGAGGATGAATTCGTAAGTGACGTGATGTCGTCGTCATCGCGTTCCCGGGTTGACATAGCGTTCTAGTGCAAGAACTACTCTTGCTGTGGGCTCCAGATCGATGACCTCCATGGGCTTTTACAGCACGTCGAGGAGATTCATGGTTCGGCTACCGACGTATTCGGCAACCCGCAGCCCATTGTATCTGTTTGCCCCACTCCTATCCGCACCCAGTCCTCCTACTTCCCCGACACGCCTCTGCAGACCTCTTCTCATGGCTCGTTTGATCCTGATGACATGGACCTCGATGATGAAGACCAAAGCAGCACACCCTCTTCTAGTAACGGACCCACGCCGCCAGATACTCCTATATCCACTCCGCTGTTGTCGCATCCTATCAACTCCTTTAATCATTATGTGTCGTCTAAACTGAGCGACGCGCACATACCCGTGTCTCCCTTCGCGTTCCCATCATCCCGCTCCACGCCACCCATTGGTTCTATAACGCCCGAGGCATTCAACGGATACGCAGGATACACGGACTATTCGTCATCGATGCCCGGCACCGTTCCTTCGCCCCGTGCTTCGGAGGAGCCCTCGCAGCCTGCCAGCCCAGTGAGCGATCCTGGTAGCCCGTACGGCTGCCTGCCCCCCTCGCTCGTGTTCTCGGCTACTACCACACCTGCCAACACTCCTGCCCACTCTCGCGTCCCATCCCCATCAAGCGCGACGCGCGCTTCAGTGCCTGCGACCGTGGGTGTGCAAGCTTCCACGTCCTCGGACTCCGCCGCCGGACCCAGTGTTGTCGCTAAAGCTTCCGGATCCAGTAGCTCGGCTCAATCAAGCGCTCGCGCGAGCACCACTCTCTCCCGCCCCTCGTCGTCCTTGCTCCTATCAAAGCCATTCCGCTGCCCCAAGCTTAACTGCAACAAGAGCTACAAGCAAGCCAACGGCCTCAAGTATCACCTCACGCACGGTAGCTGCAACTTTGCCCCACCCAAGGACCTTGAGCAGGTGCAGGCCCTCCTCGCCAGCAAACGTTCCCAGCGCGAGGCTGCCGGCGAGCAGAACGCCCAGATCACCGAGGGCGAGATGCGTGAGGTCGAGCGAGAAGCCGAGCGCCGGCTCCGGCCGTTTGCGTGCGGTATCAGCGACTGCCAGAGGCGGTACAAGAACATGAACGGTTTGCGGTACCACTATCAGCACTCGGGTGACCACGGCTCTATCGGACTCAGCCTCCTCTCCAGCGGCCAGCACGAATGCCTGCAGCACGCGCACAGCAAAAGTGCTGCCTCATCACGACACTCGACACCGCTCGCCAGTGGGGCCTCAACCCCCGTTGGTGGTGCCTCGACCCCCACGTACGCGCAGCAGTATCAGCAACAGATGCTCTTCCAGTCGGCGCAGCAGCAGCAGTACATGCGGACGATGCAGGTACAGATGCAGGCCGCCTATCCCTCACCGGCGCCCTCGCCCGATGGGTCTTCTGCATGATAACGCAACACGCACTGGGACGTCTCGAGGCGAAGACCAAAAGTAAACCAACCTAAACATATTATCTAACATCTATTCGCCTGCGCCCCCACCATCGTACTACCATCTCCGGCGACCTCGGATAATACTTGACATCGTTTGTCTGTCGGTTTTCCGGTTTCGGTTTCTATTTGTTTCCTCCTCTTTTGCTCTTACTTCTCGACCTCCTACATTTCCCAGGTCGACTCACGATATCATCTATCCTCACGAAACAACAAAACACATCATATCATCGCTTGCTTGCTTTCGACTTCTTTCCGTCTCATCTCTTGCTCTGCTCAATCCCATCTCAACCCCCTTTACATAACCACAACAACAACCCAATCATCTATCGTCGCAATTACCGGCTCTTTCCGTGGAGGCATATAATCTATTCTAACTGTGTTGCGCGTCGGCGTGCGTCCCCATGCGTCGTGCGTGGTCTGGCACCGCCGCGCGCGTGTTTGTAATATTTGTACGTATCCTCGTCGGACGCGGTGTACGTGCATCCTCCTCGGCTTTCCTGCTTTCCTCTTTCCTCTCTCGTCCTCGTTCCTCATTTATGATCCTCTCACGTCTACTTTCTATCCTATATAACACGCAACGCAGCTGTCGCATGTACGCGTACGTACTCAACTTACGCTTAACCCCTCTGACTCCGGCTCAGACACCCTCGGCAGCGACTCGTTTATTCGGGCTTGCAGCCGGGGTGTCGAGCGGGCGTCGTCCACTCGCTTGATCTGTCACGTCATATATAACGCCTCACGCATATACGTATACATAAAATAATTGTTCATATATAGAATAGAACCGACAGCTTGCGCGTTGCGTGCGTGCATTTTTATCATGAATGGAATGAATGTACGCTCTGATTCAATGGCTGATCATTGTGATGGTATGGATCATGAGCACCGGAGCATCGACCAGTGTCCTCTATTACCAACTGCCCTACTCGAGTGCAGGTGAAGTCAACGTGATGTGGCCGCGTCGGCGAATGTACGATGGCATTTGACAGAGTTCGACGCCCTGCCAGGCCCTGCCCCGACGTCCTCTTCACAACGGATCAGAATCGACATGCCGACACACTGGCGAAGCCCCCCTATTCCGCGATCTACATCTGATCTACCCCGCACTGCCCGTTTACCGGGTCACAGTGTCCGTAAACACGCCCCTCAAAGGAACGTGCTCGAAGAACGCGGAAACCGCTGGCTCAAGTATGTCACGGTGAAATGTGCCTGACGTATCACTAGCAACCGCGCTGACTTGCAGTAAGATAAGCCAGCTCGAGCGACGATACGAGCCCAGCTCGCGATCGCTTGATCGATCGACTTGAGGCTCGAAGGTGAAATACGGTAACTTGAAGGCGCCACGCTAGAGCCACGCGTGAAGTGTATTTCACTCTGCTTATTGCAAATTTGTCAGTGTCATTGCGTCGATCGTTGTCAGCTTAGGAGCGCCGGCGTTCAAGGTTCACGCGGGCGCTGGGCGTATGTTTGGGAGCGTTTGAGCGGAGCATGTGGTGATGGTTGTGAGCTGCGTTAGCGTTGAGTAGCAACTGGTCGATTCGTAGCAATGAAGAAAAGATCTAGATGGTGCACCAAATGTGCGTTCTGACGGTGGAGATTAAGGCCCAATACCTAGCTCACTGGTCTGACGGTCCACGGAGGATCTTACGAGACACTCACGAGTGCATGAGTTATATTGAAACTCGTATGACGGAAGCCAATATTGCGATCAGAATATGTTATAGAACGCCGTACGTGCCCTTGGCAAAATGCTCATGGCAGTGTTCACTACGCCTTAGACAAGGGGCGCTGGGCTCCTGGAGGCACATACTCCAAAAGACATTTCACCTCAGGTTGGATACGTTGAACGTCTAGACACCAACGAGCCCGCCGAAACGACGTCTGTGGCACACCGTCGCCGGTCAGCGGACATATCGGAGATGCCCCCAGGAACGCGGCCACGTCGACTGGAGTTCGCGTTGACCGCTCTAGACATTAATCAGACGTATTTGTTTGCTCTGCTTTACTTTACTGGTGGAAAATGAGAATGTAGGGTTGTCCGTGGAACGGAGAGTGGTAGTATCTTTACCGCTTTAAAATATACAATCCGCTGGGGTTCGGAAGCCAAAGAAAGGTTTAGAGGGTCGAAAAACGGGCTATGAGCTTTCTGTACCTGACGCTTATGTCGCGAGCGCGGCCTATAGCGTGAATGCCGAGCCGCTAGGTGGAGACTGGCTTGATCTTGAGGCACGATATACTGGCAGAAAACACTGAAGATAGACTGTCCCACGGCTTGGTGACTGACACGTCCGATAGGAGTGATATTAGCTTGACTTTGGGCAAGGAAGGAGATACTCGAAAAAGCCATGCCAATAAAGCCTAGTTGACTTGTTTATCGTTGAGCGCGAGTGCGCGAGAGTTAGTGGAAGATTCCATCGAACGGCAAGTTGGCGGCAGACCCCGATAAACTAGACTCCGGTTAAATTCTTTGTATACCCGACGCCAGTGCGTCTTGACTGCACCCCTTTGGTTTCAACGTTTAACTAATAAGCCACTTTCCCATGATCCACGGATAGTATTGGACGCCTCATGACATAAAGCCTTCCTTTTACCTCAAAAGCATCGTGGCGGAACTGACGCACAAGAAGCGAAGCGAAGTGCTATCAGGTGCTGCCTTTGCCGACATTAAGCGCGTGTGATAAGAAGGTTTCTTGATGGTGTCGCAGATCGCAGCCTTTGTTCGGGTTAGCGTATTTTGCTGGTTGCCACTATCGCTCACCACCGCTGTGCGCTTTGGGCTTGCTGAAGAGTTGAGGCCTTAAGGTGCGTCGTGTACATTCGACAACGGAGAACAATCCCTGATCGTTGTGCTCCCTTAGAACGACTTTGATCATGACCGCGACGACATCAGGATCGCGTAGGGAGTACGGGGCACTCTGGCAAGGCGAACGGCAAACTCGCCGCCTGCCCTGCGATGATCATGGCGGCCGAGACGGTGCTGGAGGTGGAGAGCACGGACAACCAGGCCCGAGACGTTCAGAAGGCCAACTGGCCAGACAGTGTGACACACTGACGGCGTTCGCGAGTCGGGCCAGTAATCAGCGGCATCTTGTTCGAGCTCGTGACCTTGCGGTGGAGAATCGAGGGCTGCTCCTCATCATGGCCGCCCAGCTGTTCTTTGCATCTACAAACCTATCCGTGAAGTTCCTCAACTCGCTCGAGATGCCTATTCCAACGCTTGAGGTTAGTCAAAACCGAACCTATTGGAAGCATCCTGTCAACTGAGCTAACACTATCTTCAGCTGGTCTTTCTTCGGATGGGAGGCACACTCGTGTGCGGTATCATATACACGTGAGCCCATAGTACAAAACCGAGGATGTATGGGAAGGGAGATACTGAACTTTGACAGAGTGTATGCAAGAGTACCAAACCCTGTTCTCGGACCAAAGGAGGTGCGATCTCTGTTGATTACTCGAGGATTATGTGGGTGAGTAGACTTGTATTGTCACTACTACCCACCCTATAGTGACGTTGCCTTCACTAGTTTCCTATACCTCTTCCCAAACTATTGGGCTTTGAAGTACATTTCTCTGTCGGACGACACCACCTTATCATTTCTCAACCCCTTGGTCACCGCCGTCTTTGCGAGAATCTTCCTAAAGGAAGCGTATTCGACGAAACAGGCATGTGCTGCAGGTGAGCGAGCTATCAATCTCTCATGATATCCGACCCTTCCGCTGAATTTCTCGAGTAGTATGTAGCCTTTTTGGCGTGATCTTGATTGCTCGGCCGCCCTTCTTGTTTGCGTATCGTGCTACCGACAAGATGGACGCATTGAGTGACTCGGGAGCCCATCGTGTAACGCCTACTCTACGTCTCATTGCAGTTGGGTAAGCCTGCTCACTGGATTATAAGTCGGCGTCATTGAGTAATACTATTGCAGTGCGGCTTTACTCAGTGTTCTAGGCATGTCCATGGCGCGTGAGTCTCCTCAACTACCTTTCTCGGCATTTCCAGTAACAAACAGTTTTGTCTGCTAACCATCAGAGATATCCATGCGAGCAATTGGAAAGCGTGCGCATCCCATGCATATGATGAACTACTTTTCGCTGTGGTGCGTCCTTGCTGCGGGTCCCGGGTATGTAGCCTCCCCCTTTAGCTCTCTTGTCATTGACGGTGATTAACTCCCGTTATGGCGATAGCATGATCATATCCAGCACTGAGCCGGTTTTCCCTCGTCGATGGGAGGCGGCCTGTTTGCTGATTCTGATGAGTATATTCGGCTTCCTCGCACAGGTAATATGTTTCGATTGATTGCTAGTATTATTGGTCCGTTTGACGCTGTTGTTCTAGATTTTATTAACGATGGGTCTGCAACGCGAAACTGCCGCGAGGGGATCAATGGGAGTTTATGTCCAGGTACGATGGTCTCTTAAATTACTGGCATGACTTCCTCGGACGGCGTTCACCGTGCACTTTAGGTCATATTCGCAGCCGTCTTGGAGTTCGCTTTCTTCGGCACTGTACCAAGTCCTCTGACTGTCATTGGCGCAGGCGTCATCATTGCCTGCGCTATGTATGTCGTGGTAAGCAACACGAGTAATCCATTGAACGTACTATGTCTGAAGAAGACTATAGCTTTCGAAGCATCCTCAAGATGATGTTATGAAAATTCGAGAACCAGTAATAGAGGAGGGTTCGCCTGGCAGGCAGCAGTCCGATGAGTCACAAAGCTTACTATCAAACTGATGGATAGAGTATAAAAAGTAAAATAGAGACTGCCTATCTGCATAGGGTCATCGGCATACTTTTAGTCGCGCATACTTGCATCCTTAGAGTCCTTAATTGAAGAGCTGAGCTTGAGCTTGATTAACGAAACCTGACCTGAGCTGACAGCGTCATCCGGACCGAGCCAACCTAACCACGCAAATGGCACCGTTATCCGTTCAACATTGTCCATTTGCAGTTCTCCTCTTCACCGTTAATGTCGGCGGCTGCATTGATTCATCATGTTTTGATCATTTCTCATCTGTTCATTTCCGTTCATCGCCTACAATTAAACCACCTAATCTGGCTTTCCTTGTTCTCGTCCATCTGTTGAGATTCAAACTCTATTCTGAACGCTGCGTTCCCATCATCGAGACGGAGCTAACGCTAAATAGAGATGTCAGCATCGCAGCTCTGACGCGCATGGATCAATGGAGTTCGAAGTCCTTTTGTCACGAGACTCAGAGTTGGTTCCAAGTCCTCAGAATATCCTTGAAGGGTTAGAGAGTAGGAGAGTAGTATTTCAAAGACTTCAATATTACTGCCAAAACTTAACCAGTGGAAAGTCCGAGAACAAGAAGAAAAAATGAGCTGGTGTACTATGGGACGACAGACATTATGGCACTCAAAGCATGGCATATACTACATATTCATTTGCATAAACGTTGAAGAGTTGAAAACATGCGCATGTCTCGGCGGCGGCAGAATCGGACAACACTAATATCAAGCAGAAGGAATAAAACATGGCACAGTCTGTTTTCTTCTCGTCGAGCACCAGGAGCTGGTGCAAGGTGCAAGGAAAGATAAAGATAAGGTTTTCCGGCAAAAGCCGATATAGACCAGACTCCGAGCGAAACTCTGTCGAACCCAATTAAGCTAGCCAATGCGGACTTTCTCCTTCCCGCATTGCACTTGCGCAAAAGTAAGTCTCGGCCCATGAATTATTTCTAATTTCCAACTGATAATCACGGTTTCACCATGCATGGTTATTACAGGATACTTGACCGTAGCCTCTACCCCCTGAAAACGTATCTATCTTCTGACTAGAGACGCCAGATCCAAAGTTATCGAGCGTGTGTACAAGAAGCAGTGAGAAACGTTATTTTTGTCCATCTAGAGCGCGTAAGATAAAGAGGTCTCTTCTGACAGTGTTGCGGCTCACGCCTTTTGTTCAGCCCAACTCTATTTGCCACCTTTGGCGGTGAGCTAACAAAAGATCCGATGCGCGTCATGTGCACTAATAACGCAAGGCTGCCCCTGGTTGCTTTACTAGACCTTGACATCGATCGCAATCATGACCACTGAAGCATCTACAGTGGAACGAAGGGAGTACGGAGCCCTGTGGCAGGAGGAGCGTCAAAACTACCCTTCTCACTCCGATGGCCCTGGATGCCGAAACAGTTCTGCAGAGGAAGATTACGAGAGCCAATGTTCAGGACATCACGATACCTCGGCCAGGTTGCCTCGCATTTGTGCAAGACTAGCTAATTGGGCCAATCATGACCGTCATCTCGTTCAAGCACGCAACATTGCAGTAGAGAACCAAGGCCTGCTGCTCATCATGATCTCCATGATGTTCTTTGCATCTATGAATCTAGCTGTAAAGCTTCTGAACTCGCTTGACACCCCTGTTCCGACACTCGAGGTAAGCTCAGATCGTACATGACCTTAGTCCCGATCCCAAGTGGCCTAACATCTTTTCTCAGTTGATCCTTGTGCGCATGGGGGGCACACTCGTCTGCAGCGTCGTATACACGTGAGTTAATACACAAGCGAAAGCCTGCAAGGGACGCTTACGTTCAATAGTGTGTATACGAGGGTACCCGATCCTATTCTAGGCCCAAGGTCTTTGCGAGTCCTATTGACGGCTCGAGGAATGTTTGGGTGAGTGCGGCGTTGGTGAAGCTGACCATATGGGTTTGACGATCATCTACTACAGATTATTGTTCCTTTTCCCGAATTATTGGGCCCTCAAATACCTGTCCCTATCGGATGACACATCTTTATCATTTCTAAGCCCCCTGGTGACCGCCGTCTTTGCGAGGCTCTTCTTGAAAGAAGCCTATTCGAAGAAGCAAGCATGTGCCGCACGTGAGCAACTCACCCTCTAGCTTTGATCTATGATGTTTTCAATGACTTTACAAGTATGCAGTCTATTCGGCGTGATATTAGTTGCGCGGCCGCCCTTCTTGTTCGATCGATTGGGTGCCGGTAGGATCCATGCCTCCTCAAATTTGATAGACGGCGATATCCCCTCGGCTCAGCGCTTTATCGCAGTTGGGTACGCCCTTCCAACTCCCCGAATTTGTATTAATGAAGTAATGCTATCTCAGCGCAGCTTTACTCAGTGTGCTAGGCGGATCCATGGCGCGTGAGTTTCTCTCACCACTTACCATAAAATGTACATACCTGATCTGCTCAGAGATATCAATGCGAGCAATCGGCAAGCGTGCTCACCCCATGCATATGATGAACTACTTCTCGCTGTGGTGCGTTCTCACTGCAGGACCTGGGTACGTGTTCTTTCCCTATCACAAGCCCGTACTTAACGTGCAACACTAATGATAGCATGGCTCTCTTTGAGATTGAGCCCGTTTTTCCTCGCCAATGGCAGTCAATCTGCATGCTGGTGATGATGAGCGTATTCGGCTTTCTCGCACAGGTACGAGATTGCGATAAAACGCTAGCTTATTGTTATTTTTGACACCACTCATCCCAGATTCTTCTAACAATGGGTCTGCAACGGGAGACTGCTGCTAGAGGCTCAATGGGCGTATACGTCCAGGTACAACACGTTTGCATGCAAATTGGCTCACACACGCATCCTTCAGCTGATGCTGACTCCATGCCATAGGTTATTTTTGCAGCCGTCTTCGAGTTGATCTTCTTCGGAACTGTGCCAAGTCCGTTGACTGTTGCAGGCGGCGTCATCATCATTGCCTGTGCCGTGTGTGTTGTGGTAAGTTCCATTACGTTGACTAATTAAACGGCATGTATATATGAATGACGCTTTAGCTATCGAAGCAGCCTCAGAAAGAGGTCGCGACAGTTCGGGAACCAGTGGTAGAGGAGGGTTCAGTTCCTAGGCAGCAGTCCGACGAGTCGCAGAGACTGTTAGGGGTTTAATGGCTGTACTACTAAACAGATACATTGGAAGTCCATATGGATATATAATCATCGTTCGTATGAATGATCGTGTGCACTTGACTCCCCGAGTCCTTGATTGAAGGGCTTCATGAATAGCCCCTGAGTTGAGCTGACAAGCGGACCGAGCCAACCGAACCGCGCAAACGCCGCGCATGCGTCCAACAGTCCTCTTCCTCTCCACCGTTGACGTCGGCGAGTCCTGGTGGTTCATCACACTTTAACTTTGATTGTTCCACTGCTATTCTTATGTCCATCAATCCACTGCCCACAATTAAACCGCTCAATCTGGTTCTCTTTGTTCTTTCTGATGTTCGAACTCTAAACCTGATCATTGTTACGCTGCCATCACGCCGTGGGGGGCTAACGCTAGATGGGCATCGCAGCATCGCAAGCATCCGTAGGTAGACACTTTCTCAGGCCTACATGAGGTAGGTAAGCGTCATACTTGACGGAGTGTCCGTGAGTGAGTACCCTTCATGAACCTTGTTTCGAAAACACCAGGTTCTTATTACACCACGATAATGTGTTCATGAGTCGTGGTCTAGGCCGTGTGGTGTAGACTGCGGAGGGTCACCAGCACTTGAAGGATGTCGGCGTGCGTATCTCCATCGTAATTCCTGATTTTCACTGACAGTCCTTCGACTCTCGACATGTTCTCCGTGTCTGACCTACATGTATGCGTGGCAAAACGCGGCTAATCCTTTCTGCCTCAACAGTCTATAGGACTAACACGTCCCTCTGACGATCTGACCAACCAGGAGCTTCGTTCTCCCCAATAGTCCGGAGTAGGCATCTATCGGCGCATTGCCCCGACAAACGAGTCCCATGGTGCACCCAAAATAGTCTATTTTAGCTGCATTCGCCTTCATCTCCGACTCTCCCAATCTTATCTGGTGGGCGATTGGCCATCCTCAATTGCCTCGCATCCCTTTGAGGATTTGAGGGTCCCCGCGCCATCTGCTTCCATCTAAACTTGTCGGTGGGAGCGGTCCGAAGATGGTCGACGGTTCCCTGCCCATGCAGCCCGTCGTTCTCAAGCCTCGCGTTTGAGAAAGTTTGACGCATTCAAGTAGATGACAGAGCTCTCTCTTCGACCTCGATCGTTGTCTTCAGAGGAGTGTACGTCGAGCGACAGTCAGGCTAGAGATCCTTGAAGCTGCAGAATCGTCTCCGGCTTTGTGTTCTCATAGAGGTCTTCTGATTGCACAGGGTTTACGCCGGGCGCCACTGTTCTTTCTCGAACGACGTAACCTACGCATCACCTCCCCTCCTCGCCCACTTTGGGCTCTCCTTACGAGACGCTTGCCTCTTTCCACTCTTTGACGCTTGATATCAGCCCAACAGCGGTACGGTCGCCCACATCTCATTTTGACTGGCGCTATGAAGCTGATCGGCCACCGCTTTGGTCTTTGATAGGCGCTATGAAGGGCATCCTCAAAAACTCGTCGAGTGCCAAGGGCTACCTCGTCCTCTCCCAGCACGACAACGCACCCAGTCCGACGGTCGAGATACCGGCTACGCCTGGCTCCTACGACGACGAGCACGATGGATGGGCCGAGACACCGACCTCGCCCGAGTTCGAGAAAGCGCACGACAAGGACAGGCGGTGGTATGCACGCATTCTGCGCAGGATCAATACGTGGGCGGACCGCCAGCCGCGCATCGTGCGCTTGAAGGAGATTGCGGACGCGAACTATGGGATGCTGCTTATTATGCTGTCGCAGTTCTTTTTCTCGTTTATGAACTTGGGCGTGAAGATCTTGAATACGCTGGAGAAGCCTGTGCCTACTATGGAGGTGCGTTTGAACTTTTAGTACTCTGCAACTTTGTGACCTGTCTTACTGGGTTTGAACGTTTTGTCCGTGTAGCTCATCATCGTGCGGATGGTCATCACGTTTCTCTGCTGTGTCAGCTACATGTTCGTACAGCGATTTTACTCGCTCAAGCTTCGCACGCTGACGAAGCACACACGTCCTCGCAGGGTCCTCCGAAAAGTCCCAGACCCATTCCTGGGCCCAAAGGGCGTGCGACTGCTGCTCGTGGCGAGAGGACTATTCGGGTGAGCATGCTCCCGGTCACAGCTCGAACAGAGCGGAGGGTTTGCTAACATTAGCTTATTCTCCGCGTTCTCTTCTATCCCCGCCTTTATCTCTGTTACAATCGCGTCCGCTTTCTGTCCTCTCTCTCCGAAGCTTCTTCGGCCTCTTCGGCGTGTACTATTCGCTGCAGTACCTCTCGCTCGCGGACGCGACGACGCTGACCTTCCTCGGTCCGCTGGCTACTGCGATCTCGGGGCGGATATTCCTGAAGGAGGCGTATTCGAAGAGGGAGGCGTGTGCTGCAAGTAGGTGACTCGTATTTTCCAGTTGCGGGTAAAACTCAACGATGTCACAGTATGCAGCTTGCTGGGTGTCATATTGATCGCACGACCTCCGTTCCTGTTTGGTCACAGCGAGTTACCTGGCGCTGGAGCGCATGAGGGGGTAGGCGGGGAGACTGGTGCGGTCCTGGCTACGACGGCGCAGCGATTGCGGGCTGTGGGGTACGTTGTATTTTCCTGTGATGACATCTAGATTCTGATCGCGGGTGTAACATAGTGCGTCGTTGATCGGTGTATGCCTTGGCTCGTTGGCCCGTGCGTCCACATTTCTTCTCACTTATGTTCGGCCTTGATCTTAATGACTCTCTCGTGCATAACAGAGTGTGCTATACGGGCAATCGGGACGAAGGCACATGCGATGCACTCGATGACGTTCTTTTCGCTGTGGTGTGTGATTGTGTCGAGTACTTCGTACGTGCTTTCTCGTCGCTATTTTAGCCTTGTTTAACCGCGCAACGGCAGGATGACGACGCTCGATATCCACATGATGGTTCCTCAGCGCTGGGAGTGGGGAGCTGTTCTCGTTTTTATTGGGTTGTGTGGGTTCTTTGCACAGGTAAGCTCCCGGTTCGCACATTTCATTGCGTATGTCATTGCTGACATTTGAACCAGACATTGGTTACTATTGGGTTGCAGAGGGAAACGGCTGCAAGAGGTGCTATGGGTGTATATATTCAGGTATGGTTGTGCACTCCTGCATCGGACTAGGTTAACGGAGTCGTCTTACAGGTCATCATTGCGGGATTTCTGGAGTACATGTTTTTTGGGGTCGTACCGACCCTGCTCAGTCTGGTGGGCGCTGGGATAATCATCGCCTGCGCCGTGTTCATCGTGGTCAGTCTTTCCGAGCGGGTCTATCTGTAGATTGAGTTTCTGAACATGCTCCCGTAGATGACCAAAAAGGTCGAGAAAAAGATTGCAAGGATCGACACGGCGGTTGAGGAAGGCTTGCTCGCAAGGCGTGACTCGCATGAATCCGGCTCAGAAGAGGGTAGTGAAGGGGAGGTGGTTAAGCTCGAGAGCATTAGCCATGAAGGAGTAGCGCAGGGCGCCATTCAGGTGGTGATGCGCGCGTAGCTGACTTGTGTTTGATGGTTTGATCCTAAGGGAATAGGTGGTTCGAGTAGATATAGATTCGGATAGAAGGTTGTACTACATATTAGAAGGGCTTCTGCATCTCCCAGTGTACAATTGAACCTTGTATTTATGTTCGAGTTGACCAATGATCTTAATTATGGGTGTCTGTGGATTAGGCACAGCTTTCGGGGGGAGGTGTCGGGCCGTCGGCTAAACCGAGGGAGTGTCGCCGAGGAAGCGGGGCATGTCGCAGGGCGCTCCGGCTCCCCAAGTTTCAACATACCAAGTTCTCCTTAACTTGCTCGCTTCCCATCCTCTCCCTCACAGCCCTTGCACCCTCCCAACCAACAGGGGAGGCCTCAGTTCCCTCCAACTCCCTCTTCAGCTTCAACCCCGAGTCCAATCAAAACGCCACCTTCGCAACCATGACTCTCCCTCTCCGCTCGCCCTCGCCAGCGTTCTCCACCTCCTCCGTGGATCCGCTGGCCCTGGACGACTCCGACCAGTCAGACATCCTCCTCGCGCCCTCCGCGTCGCGTCCGGGCTCGCCGAGCGCCAGCACCGACTTTGGCGGCGACGCGGGTTCCTCCGTTGCCGGCGGCGCTGGGGTTGGTGCACCAGGAGAGGGGGGCGGGGAGCCGGAGTCAGTGGCGTGCCAGTGGGACGACTGCGGGCAGATGTTCACGCAGCTGCCTGCGCTCATTGAGCATATTCATAACGGTGGGTCGCAATTGTGCTGTCATTCGATGGCTGCGTTCGTGTGGGCTGGCGCTTACGGTGAACTTTGTGGTTTTGTTCTGGCCTTGCGCCTATCCGCCTCGTCGCCTGGCGTGTCTCGTATCTTCCAACTTGCTCGCCTGGTCCCTCGTTACTCGTGCAATTGCCTTGTGCTATGGCCTTCTCTCGTTCACCATACACCCACGGCGCACCACGGCACGGCCTCCAGATCACATCGGCGTGCACAAGTCCAACTACACATGTGAATGGGCAACGTGCGCGCGCAAGGGCATCGCGCAGACGTCGCGCTTTGCGCTCATCTCGCACATCCGCTCGCACACTGGAGAAAAGCCGTTCACTTGTACGCGGCCAGGTCAGTTTACATCTTACTACACAGCCCCGCGTTCATACACTCTCCACCTTTCGCGTTTTTATACCCTCTTCCTTTGTTCTCCACGTACCCTCGTCGCCCTTTGCGCAACATGCATGCACTACGTCTTCATGTGTGCGTTTGTGTTCTCGTCGAGCTTTGCCTTGTCCTCCCCGTGCCGTATGCCCGGTGATTTGGGCTTAATCCGTGCTTCTTGCTCTCCTCGTGGTGATGGACAGAGACGCTGACATCCCTTCCTTTTGGCATGCTCTTCTCCCACCTGTCGTTTTTAACGATGGCGTTACCCGATCGACCACGCACTGGCATGATGGCCGTCTTGCGATGGGATGAACACTCAAATGCCGCCGCCGTCTTCTTCCACATCAACATTCGCACACGAAACGCTTCCCCTGCCGTTATCCGTTCCCGTTCTCATATCACCACCACCTATCGCCGCCGTGTCGCCTCTACTTGCTCCTGCCCCTTGCCCCTGAACCATTAAACCGACGACGATGCACCACCACCACCGCCTTCCTGTCCCCGCCACTGCCGCTGCCACTGCCACCACTCGAACTCGCAATGCCCCTGCCCCCGCGACAGAATGCGACAAGTCGTTCACCCGCTCGGATGCGCTCGCGAAGCACATGCGGCTGCAGCACAACATTATGCCTACCACGACGGGCCGCGGCGGGAACCGGAAGCGCAAGCGCCCGGCGTCAGACGATCCCAATACCCCTGCTGGCGGCGAACCATCGTCTTCGGCCGCCGCAGGAGCAGGAGCAGGAGGGGCAGCAGCAGCGGGCAGCGTAGCAGCGGGAGCGGGCGGTGCAGCCGGCGCGGGAGGGGGCACTGCTGCGGGGGGCTTCACGACGTTCAAAGTCGAGCCGCAGACACCAGGCGCCGAGGGCGACGATCTCCACGCTGGTGGCGACTACTTCAGTCGCCCTGGCGGTAGCCCTTCCGGCGGCGCTGACCACCCGGGGTCCCCTGGGCTGGGCGACGGGCTGGGCCTGGGCGAGGGTCCGCCCTCGCCGGCGGAGTTCGACGCGGCGACGGCGCTGCCGCCGCACCTGCTCGCGAAGATGTCGCCGCGGACGGGTCTGATCGACGGGCGGACGCCGGCGCAGGTGGCGTATGTTATTGCCAAGGCCAAGTACCGCTTTGCGCTGGAGCAGCATGCGGATCTGCTGGAGCAGCTGCGGACGGTCCGGCGCGAGGCGGGGCGGGTGAGGGGCGAGAAGGAGCAGGCGCTGAGTGCGGTGCTGGAGAGTGCTTTTGGGTGCGTTTTTTTTTTCCTTCTGGTTCTGTTAGGTTTTGTGGGGATTTCCAGGAGGAGCTGACGGTGTGTTTGGCAGGCCGCAAGCGGAGAGCGTGTTGGCGGGCGGCGAGGCCGATCCTGCGTATGGTGCGGAAGGGAGGGGCGGCTATTCGCGCTCCTCGCATGTGCATTCGCATCAGGTTTCGCATCTGGGCTCGGGGTCGAGGCATCATCGCCAGCCGCAGCATCATCCGTACCAGCAGCAGTCGTCGTCGTCGTCGTCGTCGCGGCGGCATCACCATCACCCAGCAAGCAATCCGTATCCGCACCATGCGGATCCGCAGGCGCACCAGTATTATGCCTATCCTGATGAGCGCGGGTATCCGCCTCAAGTTGCTGCGGCTGCTTCGTATGGGTCTCAGATACGGGGATGATGGGTGGTGTTCTTGACTGTAAATTATATTTGGGTTCGTTGTGAAATTACTCTTTTGCGCTTGCAAAGACATGGACATGTTGTGCAGTGTTATGAATGACGATTCGCTTCCGTCTGTCGGAGCTCTGGCTTCAGTTTCCTCGGACTGATGTTGGGCTTGACCGGGTTTACGCGCTTGTGCCTTGAGGGAGCGGTGCGGGAGTGGTGAGGCCAGGAGTAGAAAATGTCGTCACTGTCTCGGAGGCAATGACGTCACGCGTCGGGTTCATATATGTGTCCACTCGTCCACCTAGCACCACATACTTTCCATCGTCCGACGCCAACCACGTCCATTTCGCTCGAATAACCCGCCCAAAGCATACACTAAACTCACTCCTTCGTACCGCGAAACGACCATGTCACCCAAAACACGCTCGCGCAAATCCTCCTCCAAACCATCCGTCGACACCGCCAACACCAACGGCGGCACCTCCAACCCCACCTCGACGAGCGCCAACCCCGACGCGGTGAACAACATGCGCCAGTCGCACGTGCAGTCCGCGTCCGACCTGCCCCCGCCGCGCGAACACAAGCGGCTCAAGCACCGCACGTCGCCGCCGCTGCAGCGCGCGCCGTGGTTCCTGTTCAACTACACCTTCGTCGCTATCACGTTCCTCGTCGCTGCGTATTACTTTTACCAGATGTTCGTGTGGAAGACGCAGGTGGGCGGGTGGTGGAATATGGCGCTCGGGAGGCGGCCGCCGCAGATGCAACAGGGGGGTGCGCAGCCGCCGCGGGCGAATACCGGCGGTGCGTGGTGGGGCGGTTCGGGGAAGGGGAAGGGGGAGTCGAAGGGGGCGCCGGAGAGCGGGGATAGTCTCGTGCAGAGCAAGATTGATGCGCTTGCTGAGGCGCTCGGAATGCGCTCTGAGGACCTTTCGTCGGCGATTGCGGGTGCAGTGAGGGAGCACGTTCCGCCTGCGTCGCTCTCCAGTGTTGCTGCGAAAGAGACAGGGAGGGCGGCGAGGATTCTTGCGGGAGACGAGGATGCTGCTGGGCAAGCTAGTGTTGTTGGGAGCGTTGCTGATGGTATTGGTAAGGTTGTTGGGTTTGATGAGCCGCCCGAAGGTAGTGAGTAGGGGGGACCGAGGCAAATATGGTATGCTCGCTTGTGTTCTGGCTCGCATAGTGACAGTGCTGACTGGATTACCCTCCGTAGTTTTTGACTCGTTAAATATCTCCATGATTGGACGATAATTACTGTATCAATATATACGACTACTTGTTAATACGTTCTTGAACCTATGTATCACCGCGCACCAGACAATGAAAACTGTATCACAAAACTGAGGCTCGACGCGACCGTCCTTTTTTCAACATACATGCAGTAGTGTGAGCTATGGTTCGGGACGTGAGAGAACGCCTCGGATTAATGGACTTGGCCAAGCCAACTTTCCATGCGGTATCGGAACAATGTAGCTAAAGTATGTGCCAGAGGTAAATTCCCCAGATACGGAACGCAAAGGGTATGTTACACACCTCGCAATTCCACGTGCATAGCTACAACCTGTGCATGATTCCAAGCTCGACATTCCCAGCGTTGGTCTGAGAGAGCGTAGTTAAGAATATCTCTTCCCGGGCTTGAGTGACTAAGCGGGAACATTGTTGCACTCATGTACCTGCTGGCCGATGGTGAGTTGTCGATAAGCAGGGAAGACGGCGTTCAGCCTAGTCCAGCCACCACATCACTGCGGGACGTGCTCAAGGCTGTAGGAAGATCGGAGGCGCGGGGATCACGTCCTCTTGGGCTACCGTGACGAAGCCCATCTCACGAAGAGACCTCAACGCAGCCGACAGAGGGAAGGAAACTTATTTGAAGATGGATAACGTTGGTTGTAGAGTCAATCGTATAGGGGAGATGTCATGGACTATAGTCGAGCATGTATCGACAAGAGGAGCGAGACGCGTCTGAAATCGACCAAGTCGCGTTGCCAGTTTGCGGGAAGACCCTAACCACAACAGCTCTCATTTTACCTTCACGTTCGCGGGCTCTGACCAAACTTGCTTCGAACAATCACCGACCGCCCACAAAGTTAACATATTTCCTTGGTAGGATCGCACCCCGTAGGTTGCGCAGGTCTTGCTGACTCACCTTAGATATGCTACGCGTCAACGCGTCAACAACGATCTTGTTCTCCGGGTTCTCGCCATCACACCAGTGAACCGACTATGAAGAACGTAACACTCGGCTCGGAGTCGCAACAATGATGAACCAGCCGCCTGTGGTCCAGGAATTATCATAGTGAGTGATTCTACATCTACTGTAGTATCGGTGTCTCAACAAAGTTCCCTCGCAGCTCACGTCTCAACTCGTACGGGCCACTCGATCAAGTACAAGAAGGCCATGTCAGAACGTTACTCGAGAGGTGCGTCTTGTAAAGAGTATGCTCGCTCGCTGATAGAAACCTGCCTAGATGACTTCCAATTTTCTGAAATCGCTCGCATGTAAGGATCGACGTCACCTGGGGCGCGGAAATGAAAGTCTATAAGTTCGAAGAGAGAAGGAGACGTATCCGAACGTCATTTCTGCTCAGGGACAGAGGTCGGCCTTCGAGGGCGAACCCTAGTAAGCGGAGCTCCCTACTCCAAGTCACCCAGCCATGAGTCTGACTCGACTATTTCTCCGTCCTTCAGTACGCATTCGATATCATGCTCTAGATGCAGTTTGATCTGCATGTACTTGTACATATGCGCGACTACTTCTGAATGAAACTTTCGGTTCTCTTCATTCCCGCGTACGCGAAACTTCGAGGAAGCCTCGACTTAGACTTCCTTCTTCAAGGCGTCGAAAATGCGCTCGCCCTGAACCGCTTTGTAGGTCATGAGGATTCTACACTGAGCAACGTTTGGGCCATAGTAATCTCCGACAATGCTCATTGGAAGATAAGCACAAGTCAGCAGGTCGAAGGATATCAGATCGGTCGAACGAGGTCGAACGTTACATCAACGCGTGTACACCCATACCGTACACTTGTCTCCCCTTTGCTTATTTGGCTATGAACAGACGAACGGATGTCCTTGACGCCCAAGGTCCTTCCCCGCTCGGGCGCATGGTCCTGGTTCTCCGTATCACGAGGGGACTCATCAGCGAGCAAGTTGAAACCAAGGATCCGGCTGAACACCTCTTTGCCGACACGCCGTTTGTCTTCAGCGCTCATATGACCCGATAAAGCTATCAACGGCGCCCTACCACGCTGCGGGCCGTGTTGATTGACCAATAGAACCGCCTTGAGCAAATAGTACCAGCGAGAGATGACGCCTCTGCGAACCGAATCATTGTGAAACCAGATATAGCAGATAGACGCTCTTAATGGGCGCTCGACTGATTGCTGAGAGCCCCTCGCTCTCTTTCTCCCTTTCCCTTCGTCTGCTTGTCCGTCACCCCGCTCCTTGCTTTCGTAGCAACAGCCAATCCACAGCTTTTACCTCACGATGTCAGACACAGGGCCTTCTCCGGCAGGTCCGCCCATCGACATGGAAGCGGTTCGCAGGACCTGTCCCGTCTTTCGTGTCCTTATCATTGGAAGAGCGAATGCGGGAAAGACGACGATCCTGCAGAAGGTGTGCAATGTCGACAAGGACACCAAGCCTATAGTTTACGATGCAGACGGGAACTTGGTAAGCTGATATACTCACAGTACTGTCGCTGCCATAACCATAAGCGCAATCTACACAGCTTAAAAACTGGAATGCCGAGGTAAGGACACTCACTCAGCTGATAAACGTCAGGTATCTCATCCTGTTCCCGCGACCAATGCAGTCTATCAGATTCAAGCTATCAAAGTTGAAGGACCGTATTCGCCCTTCATCATGGATCCGAAAGGTATGGTGTCGTATCTGCTCGTATATAATTCGGCAGCGCTTCCTCATTTCGGTTCGTGCTAGAAGCGTGCGGCTCAATCCACGGATAACGCAAGTAGCAGCGATCAGTCCGACCCTGAGACCGATGTACTTCGGCCATCGACTCAGGTATAAGTGATGCCTTCGCACTCGCGTTTTGCTGTCTCACTTTTGCTGATAGCGTGGACGCCATGACATTAGAAACCAGATCACGTACCCAGGCAGTCGATTTGTGTTTCATGATTCCCGGGGTATTGAGGCTGGCTCTGTGAACGAGGTCCAGATTATACGTGACTTTGTGCGTGAGCGAGCATCCAAGGAGTCTCTTGCCGAGCGCTTGCACGCCATCTGGTAGTTATCGGTTCACTCGTCTTCATCTCCGCGCATTGATTGTGGGATACTATTGGCAGGTTTTGTGTTCCGATGGACAATAAACGGCCACTGGTCAAGGCTGAACTCGATTTCTTCAAAGAAGGCACCGAAAATGGTATAAAGCCAACTAATAACTCCAGTATGCACCCAACTAATGTTTCACTACATAGTACCGGTTGTTGTTGTGTTCACCAAATATGATGCACTACTAGATCGGGTAGCCAATGACTTAAATATTACTGAACTGACAGAACAGAGTGAGGCTGCTGTTCACCATGTGGCAGAGGCCATATATCAAGAGCACTATCATCTCCAGATCACAGAGACTGCTTATCCCCCCAAAGCAGTTGTAAAACTCCAAGGTAAGGGATAAGGTTACTTTAAACACTGCACTCATTAATGTCAATGTAGCTTTGGACAAAGCAGAGACACACTGTCCTGAATTGTCTGAGCAAACAGCTGCAGCAATAGACAATTTGTCCCTGCGCCGGCTGTTTGTCTCTGTGCAGCAAAATAATTTGGATCTTTGCATGCAAGAGGCAGCAAGGCAAGCATTTTCATACATTCAATGTCCCATCCTTTGCCTATTGTGAGTTTCAGGGCGTCTAGACAGCTGGACCTTGGTAAAGAGAAGATGATTGAAGTGATTTGGGCCATCTTCCCAAATACCTGGGTGTGCCCATAATACTACCTCTTAAGCAAAAATCTCCTGACTATTTTATTCAGGGTGATGATTCATGGGTAAACAGTTGTCTAGAAAACAAACAAACTAAACTAACTGAACTAAACTGACTGGTGCAACAGTTCAATTCAGTGAGTATTCATGGCTAGAATCATCTTAGTATTAAGACACCTTTCAAAATACTAGCTAGCTCAAGTAAGTCAGTGGCACCATGAGACTAGATCAGCAGAATTTAATATCAAACAGTGGGTCACGAATGCAGAAGATATAAGAAAGGTATGGGCCAGTTTACATATTTATGTGAACTTCACTGACATTATCATCTGTCAGAATGTGAGTTCTTCTGATATATGCACTATTTGACTCATGCTCATCTGGCACTCTCATCTGCCAGCCTGTAAGTCCTTCTGATATATGCACTATTTGACTCATGCTCATCTGGCACTCTCATCTGCCAGTATGTGAGTCCTTCTGATATATGCACTATTTGACTCATGCTCATCTGGCACTCTCATCTGCCAGCATGTGAGTCCTTCTGATATATGCACTATTTGACTCATGCTCATCTGGCACTCTCATCTGCCAGTATGTGAGTCCTTCTGATATATGCACTATTTGTACTCATGCTCATCTGCCACTCTC